ACTTCTATTAATAGTGATGTGTTTATGTGATGCAGTAGATGCAAAGCAAAGTGATAAGCGTACCGTGCTCATGTAGCTTGCGTCTTTTCAGAGATATGGATTGGTTCATGGGACTGCTGGGAGAAAAACTTGGACTGCACTTCGACCAGACATTCCACGGGCTCTGTCCGAGCAAACAGCCACCTATCTTTGGTATGTTCGGTAGAATAAATGAGCAACGAATTTCTTCTTGGTCTCCTTTTGTTGGACTTTCTGAAATTATTCGTCAACAATAGTTTTTCTCTCAAATGTACGCTAAGCTGTGTTTGTCATTTAGGGATACTTGGGTCTTAATAACAGCCTGTCGAAAGATTTAAAGTTTAAAAACGCCTTGACAATCGGCCATTTGATTACGCCATTGCTAAATCACTATTTCTTTTATCTTATAGGTGACTTCCTCAACACTAATGAAATTTACGAGGACATCCTGGACTTTGCCACGCTGAAGCAGTACATGGAGAACCAGTTGAAGGAGTATAACGCGACGCCAGGCGTTGTGTCGATGGAACTAGTACTTTTCAGGGATGCCATCTGCCACATTTGTCGCACCGTGCGCGTTCTGAAACTGCCCAGAGGAAACATGCTTGTCGTCGGTATCGGTGAGTGTATTGTTCAAGGTTTCAATACACCAGGAACCAGGGTGACTGTACCTATATTCTATGGCATACATCGTCCCCACTGCAGTTGGTCTTTTCGTCTTTGAAATGATGCCAATAACAAAGCAAAGTCTTCTGTAATTTCATCCGATAAAACAACAAGTGCCTCCAAAAGTAACTCCAGCTACCTTATCAGGTGGCAGCGGCCGGCAGTCGCTGACCCGACTGGCCGCCTACATCTGCGGCCTCTCGGTGTTCGTCATCGAGGTCAATAAGCACTACCACCGACCCGAGTTCAGAGAGGATCTCAAGGTGCTCTATCGGGCAACGGGCCTCGAAAACAAACCGACCGTCTTCATTTTCAGCGACGCCCAGGTGACTATACATTTTTCGACATTGTAATGTCGTTAATCTGTACCAAGACGTTGAGTTGAATCAAAGCCTTTGATTTATACTGGTACAGACTTCGCTTCTCTCAATCATTGTCAGAATTTGCCGCTCTCCAGCTGACCATTGAGGATCGAATGTTTTAAGCTCATTTTCTTCTCTTAGGTCACGGAGGAAACGTTCCTTGAAGATATCAACAACATCCTAAGCAGCGGGGAAGTGCCAAACCTCTACAAACCGGAGGAGCTCGAAGAGGTGGGTATTACACATTGCTATTTATAGACACCAGAGCCCGGTGAAGTCCCACGCTGGACGCCAAAAATCATCCGTCCTGCTTACGTTAGGGTTTATTCAAATGTAGTATTTTTACGTCATTAAACAACCAGCTTCGATTTAATTGCAGTTTCAGTTGCAAGTAGTTGTGTGCATAAGATTCTCCACTGACATGTGATTTTTTTTTTTTTTTGTCAGATACGCAACACACTACAGCCGGTGGCGGCTAGGGAGGGTATCCCTGAGACGCCAGAGAACCTGTACGGCCTGCTTTTGGACCGAGTCAGGTCAAATCTCCACCTCTGCGTGTGTATGAGCCCCGTCGGAGACGCCTTCAGGTTGGTGCTAAACGTCATCTATCGTCGTAGGATTTCGCCTGTACTGATTAAATATTGCTAAACCAGCAGACGCATTAGTGCCCTAAATACATCAAGCAACGGTAGAGGAAGTTACCAAGCTTGTCGTTTCCGGACTGTCGCTCCGTTCAGTGTCCACTTGTGACTCACCATCTCCGAATACCACAGGAACCGTATTCGCATGTACCCTGGCCTGGTCAACTGCTCCACGATTGACTGGTTCGGAGATTGGCCACAAGAAGCTCTGATGGAAGTAGCCGAGAGGTATTTGGAAGGCATCGACCTAAACCTAGGCGCCGATACGGAACTATTGAAGGTATGTTCAGTGTTCACGTAAGCCGGCCAGCTTCATTAAATTAATTCGAGGGCTTTCTCTTTGGCTGTTTGGCAAATACTGTGGTATATTCATACTAGAATGCAAAAAGAATTGTTTTCCGTTGATTCACGATGCTTCATGGCTCGATACTTCATACCTAAATAGCGTTGTTCTCATGCAGGACGAGCTGCAGGCTGCTGTGGCTCACACGTTCTCCGTAATTCACCGCTCCGTGTCCAACTACTCGGCTCGGATGCTGGCGAGGTGCGGCGACACAACTACGTCACCTCCACCAGCTACCTGCAGCTGGTGGCCGGCTACAAACAGTGAGTGAATACAGGCGATTAGAAAGGCCTGCTCAATGACCAGAATATGATCGGAACCTTGGTGGCCTATTGAATTTTGTCTCCCTAAACGTACGAGCTGGATGAATAGTAATATTTCTCCAATGGCACGATCAGAACGCATTTCTGTTTTGACCTTGTGTTTCCTCAGTCTACTTGGGCGAGAAGCGCAAGGAACTGGGAGAAGCCGCTGACAAGCTGAGGAATGGTCTGTTCAAGATTGACGAGACCAGTGTCAAAGTCGAATCCATGTCCGTTGAACTGGAAATCGCCAAAGGAAAAGGTCAGTGAAGACATGAAACCATGAGATCGAATAATGCTGTGGCTTTGCGAATCCTTTGAGTTCTGTCTGGTCTACGGAGGAAACCCCTATGACAAACACCATGCAAACTATAAGCGAGTTTGTGTACCATTACCTCAGATGTACTTGACACGCATTGACACTATCTGAGCTCTTCGTGTCTATGCGTGCCGTGTGTCCCACTTGGCAGTGGCCGAGTTCCAGCAGCAGTGCGAAGTACCTGGTCATCATTGTCCAACAGACCCGGGAGGCCGACGAACAGCAGCGCTCCGTCCAGCTCAGGTAAGGCGAACGTCCTGAGAGCTACTCGGTCCACTTCGATGGCTTCAGGGGGCACGAAGTTTGACCTTTCATAGGTCGTAGCAGATATCTAAAGACAGGTATCTTTGGGTGCCGATTGTCATTTGCTACCATTATCAAAGACCGAAGCTCGACAAAATCGTTTAAAGCCATATCCATCTGTGCGCTCTATCAGGTCTCAAAAGATTGCCGAGGAGGAGCTGCAGTGTAAGGCCATGGCCGAGGTGGCTCTGGCAGAGCTGGAGGAGGTGCTGCCCGTCCTGGAAGAGGCCGTCAGGGTAAGTAACAAGACCGCACCGCAGTGACGCACTTCCGAGACGGAGGGAGACTTTTGGTCAGATAAGCGACACGGGGGCTAGCAGACTTCGCCGATATAGTTTAACAGTCGAGCTCCATTCATTGTGATGTGTACTGCATGCAAATTAACATCACAAGTGGCATGCTGTCTGATAGTCTTAACTACCCCCATTGCCTATTATACTGTACCGCGACATTTTTCTTGATCCTTACAGGCACTGGACGCCCTCTCGAAGCGGGACCTGAACGAGATCAAGTCGTACGCCCGACCTCCGCCGCTGGTAGAGAAGGTCATGGAGGCAGTGATGCTTCTGAAGTGCGTCGAACCCACCTGGGCAGAGGCGAAACGACAGCTGGGAGACCCGAACTTCATCACACAGGTCGGTTGCAATGTTAACTCTTGTTCGATCGATTACCAGCACCATGTGGCTGCCAAATTTGAGACATGTGCTTTATGTAGTCTTTGACTCTCTATTGTGCTGATTGTCAGCCATGCCCACCAGTCGCCATCTGTACAATATTTACCAGACGTACATTTACGTAGGTACTCATTCATTCTTCTTCCCCGTCGTTTCCAGCTGCGTGACTTCGACAAGGACCACATCAGCGACAAGACGCTGAAGAAGGTCGGCGGATACGTGGTGCAGGCCGACTTTGACCCGGACATGGTCGGAAAACAGTCGCTGGCTGCCAAGTCGCTCTGTCTGTGGGTACGAGCCATCGAGTCGTACGGACGCGTCTACAGGTTAGTGGGGGACTGTTGCTCTCCTGGAACATGTGGATGACATTAGAATCTCTTTGGTAAAAATGAACGTATGTTGGAATCTGGAAAGGCAGACATTGGGATTCCTCATCTACTGTGTTTTGACCACGCTGTCAGGGTGGTGGAGCCGAAGAAGATGCGTCTGATGTCGGCTGAGCGTATCCTAGCCGAGAAGCAGAAGAACCTGGCAGACGCTAAGGCGAAGCTGCAGGAGCTCAGCGAGCGGCTGGCAAAGCTGCAGACCGAGTACAACGAGAAGCTGGCGCAGAAGGAGGAGCTCAGGATCAAGGTTCGTCACCAGAGGATTAGACCAATAAAGTAACAGAACAGAACGTATGTATAGTCGACTACAGAATGATGTTCCACTTTTCACAGGGCAATTATTTGCCTGGAGTGGTAGGCTGTGCCGAATCACACGGGCTGAGTTCACAAATTATAGCTTTGTCCCAATGCTCACAATCGACACGCTTAATTGTGTGATAAACGGCACTACTTAGCTCTCCGGTCAACTGATAGCTTCTGAGGAGTGGAACATCATTCTGTAGTAGACTATACCACAGTTTGACGCGTGTCTTTGATGTTTCAATATGTACAAAGACGCTCATGCTATTCTGTTCCTCGATGCTAGGCGGAGAGCCTGGAGCTGAAGTTGGACCGCGCGGCCAAGATCGTCAGCGGCCTGGCCGGCGAGAAGGTCCGCTGGACACAGACCGTGAAGGACTTGGACGAAAACTTTGGCTACCTGGTCGGGGACTGCCTGATCGCTGCCGCCTTTGTCTCCTATATGGGACCGTTTACGTCCAACTACCGGGACGAGATCGTCTCGAGCATTTGGTTACCGGAGGTGGGTCTGAGATTGTGGGAACTTTATTGCGTAATGTTGTGTTTTATTCAGCATCATTCTGTGTTAATGGCAAGTAGTGTTCGTCGTTTCGATGCTATATCTTTGTTCGATACCAAAAATACGGTAGAGTCGGACAGTGCCTGAGTAAGTGACCGTCGTTGTCCGTCCGTGCCCAGGTGCGCGGGAAGCTGGTGCCCTGCTCGCCGACGTTCGAGCTGTGCGAGTTCCTGGCCAAGCCGACGGTGGTACGCGACTGGAACATCCAGGGCCTGCCGTCCAACCCGTTCAGCGTGGAGAACGGCATCATCGCCACGCGCGGACAGCGCTGGCCGCTGCTCATCGACCCGCAGGGGCAGGGCCTGCGCTGGATCAAAAACATGGAACACAAACAGGTTAGAGTGACAATGCTGTGCGTGGCTCAGAAAAGAATAGATTAATAACACTGGCATGTATTTAGCGCTTTAGGCATGAATGGGCATAACTGATATCACGCCGCCGTACCCTTGGCCTCCGGACTAACACGGCGTGCTCGTTTCCGCAGGGTCTGAAAGTGATCGACCTGCAGCAGACCAACTTCCTATCGGTGCTGGAGCGCTCCGTCACGTTCGGCCACCCGGTGCTGCTACAGAACGTCCAGGAGACGTTGGATGCCTCGCTCAACCCCATACTCACAAAGTCTGTCATCAAACAGGGTGAGCTCGCTACCATGCCTCATCAAGCAAAATGTATGGTGACATGGGTTGATCTGGTCTTGCATTGGTCTGCTCTGGGTTTTCTTTCTAGCACACATGCATTGCAGTTAAGCTGCTTGATCGCACGCATCCTTATGAGTTTATATTCGATTGTCGGAGACTGTTGTTGTAATATAAATCATCAGAGTGCGGTGCCTCAGTGTTTTCTAATGTGATTCCTTACGTGCTGTCGTTGCCCGCGGCAGGTGACGCTCTGTACACCAAGATCGGCGACAAGGAGGTGGAGTACAACCCGCTGTTCCGCTTCTACATCAGCACCAAGCTGTCAAACCCGCACTACCCGCCTGAGATCGCCACTAAGACCACCATCATCAACTTCACCGTCAAGGAGGACGGTGAGTAGTACGCCGGCTCGGTAGACCATCTAACCATCCACAGATAACAGTAGTACAGTAATACTACTACTATATAACAGTAGTACTACTGTTATCTGTGAACCATCTTATCCGTAGTTACAGTAACAGATGCCAGAGAGGCTAGCAATGTTGCATCATCTATTGGGATCCGGACGATGTCTATTATTTGGTGATGGCTTATGCATTTCACGTTGTTCTTGTGCGGTATTTAATCTAGTTTGCAGAATATAAAATGTCATGTTGTCATGGAAATCATCTTCGTTCGTGTATCCGTTGTCGCTAGAGATCTAATGCTCCATTGTGTGACGTCTCCGGACAGGTCTGGAGCAGCAGCTGCTGGGTATCGTGGTCCGCAAGGAGCGGCCCGAGCTGGAGGAGCAGAAGGACGCCCTCGTCACCAACATCGCCGCCGGCAAACTGAAGCTCATCGAGCTGGAGGACGCCGTGCTCAGGTCGGTCGGATGGTTGACAAAGGCGGCAACGGTAGCGGTGAAATTTTATATCCTTTTTGGAAAAAGGAATTTGGAGCAATGACATTCATGCATGAGCATCAGAACTTGTGTGTTGTTTATCTGTTGTACACCGATGCCACTTGGTTAGCAGAAGGGATCGTAGTTTTCCAGAGACTGTAACTCTCACATCTTCCTCCCTCCTCACTCTCCACGTCACCCACAGACTGCTGAAGACGGAGGGTTCGCTGCTGGAGGACGAGGCTCTGGTGGTGACGCTACAGTCGTGCAAGACCACCTCGGCCGACGTCACCGAACAGCTGGAGACCGCCGAGGAGACAGAGATCAAGATCGACGCCGCTCGGGAGGTGGGGAAATGTGGGGTTTCAGGAACGCAACTGGATGGAGTGGCTACCACAGTGTGAAACTGCTTGTCGAATTGCTCGCCCATTCATGCAGAAGCTGTATTGTTCATCCCCGTGGCCCGAAAGACGATTTCTCATTTTCATGAGTGGTTGGACTTACTTCAGTGTCTAGTTAGACTCCTCCTATGCCAGTTGTCCGTCCTAACACGGTTCTCGGCCCTCCTCTTAACGACTGACGTTGGTATCATCGTTGACAGGCGTATCGTCCGTGCGCGCGGCGCGCCTCGATCCTGTTCTTCGTGCTGACCGACCTGGGCAAGATCGACCCGATGTACCAGTTCTCGCTGGACGCCTACGTAGATCTGTTCACCCACTCCATCGATAAGGCGCAGAGGAGCCCAAAGCTGGAGAACCGCATACAGAACATGAACGACTATCACACCTACGCCGTGTACAAGTGAGTGAAGGCTATCATATATGCGCGTCAGGCTTATTTGTGTGTTAACGTAATGGTGGAATGACCGTCTTTTGCCGCAAAACATTTGACGTCCTTTTTAAAGCTCTATTCATGATGTGCATTGTCCAGTGATACAAACGCCGTTGTTCAGGGTCTGTGTTGCGTCGTTTTCAGGTACGCCTGCCGCGGCCTGTTCGAGCGGCACAAGCTGCTCTTCTCCTTCCACATGTGCATCAAGATGCTGGAGAGCCAGTCGGCCGTCAACACGGACGAGTACCTGTTCTTCCTCAAGGGTGGAGTCGTGCTCGACAGGGAGGAGCAGATGGACAACCCGTGCCCCGGTCAGTTTCATGGTCTGTGCTTGATTAGTGGAAGTTTAAGTGAGGGTCCTCAGTGTGATCTCTCATGAAACATTCCTATCATAGTCCTTGAATTCCCTTTTACGCTTTATTTCGTCCCACTGTCGCTTCTTTCTTTCAGAGTGGCTGTCGGACTCTGCGTGGGACAACATTACCGAGCTGGAGCGTCTGGCCAACTTCCACGGCGTGATTCAGTCGTTTGAGCAGGGCCACCGCGACTGGTACGCCTGGTACACGTCGCCCGAGCCCGAGCGAGCCTCGCTGCCCGGTCAGTATCACAGGGGTGGACGTGATGTTCGGACAGTATCGTCAAGAGGCATACGGTCGTGTTACCTTAACACAATATTGACAGCGCTGAGTGCTAGGCTGCGCTAGATGTTTTGAAATAGTCGTGTTACTGAAGCCTTAACCCGCGCCCCACTGGGGTCTGTGTATAACACGCCCTACTGGGGGGGGGGGGGCTATTCATAGCCCCCCCTCCTAACTCCGAAACTACTGGGCCGATCGTCAAAATTCAAACGGCGTCTGATAGCCCCGGAAAAACTGTCGAGCGAAACCTAATTTCATTGACCTCGAGGTCACCGATGACGTCACAGGTCAGGTCAAAGTAAAAATTATTAGCACTTTGGCTTGTTCACATTTTGGGCTCTGGCCGCCGTCTTACAAGTCAGATCAGGCTCATTTTTGGTTTCCACACTCGTGAACAGATGCTCTAGATACCTTGCGGGTACCAAACTTGTACTTTGATTTTCAGGTCAGGGTCAGGTCATCACAGGTCACGAAAATATTATATCATGCGTCGGTCACGTGACACATGTTTTATGGTCCATTTAGGCCATAGATTTCGAATTTGATGTCGTCTATGTCATTCGAGGTCATTTTGAGTCGAATTTAGCTTAGGTCAGGTCACTTTCAGGTCAAAAAAGGTCAAATTTTGAAGTTGAAATTTTTCAACAAAAAAGGTGTCTATTGGATGCAGTTTGAGCTCAGGAACACGATGGTGCCATTTATATTGGTGTACGATGCCAAATGCGTACTGAAAAATTGATTTGAAAAATTAATAATTGTGAATTTTTTGCAATAATGCGTATAACTTGGCCATTTTTGAAGATATTTAGCTAAAACTTGCTAGAGTTAGTCATAATCATGCGTTCTGTCACATATGTTCCGGTTTTTACGAAAAGTCAAAAACTTTTTGAAAAAATATAAAAATATAAATTTTGAATATTATTAAATAAAATTTTCGAAATTTTCAAAATTTTGAAAATCCGAGATAGCAGTTTGATAGCGCGGTCGATTCTGAGTTCTTTCATGCAAAGAAATTGGATCTAGCTTAAAAACTGAGCTCTTGGGAGCGATTGCCGTGGTTCAATGTTTTGCGTCGAAATCGGACGAACATGACGTCACCCTGACGTCATTTCCGGCCGACCTATGGTAGGTACGAAGTTCAAATTTTGACACAAGGTGTCAAATTGATGCAGCCGAAGGTACTGAAAGTTTGGCGTCGATCCGTCAAGCGGTTTGGAAGTTATTGCAGAAAAACGGGAGGGGGGGCTATAAATAGCCCCCCCCCCCCCAGTGGGGCGCGGGTTAACGATAACCGATAACGGTTCATGCCCGAATTGGAGCTATCTAAATAGTTTCTCAATTATTATCATTTTATGCATTTCGCTCCGGACTCCGATGTTCTTTACTAATCGTCGACCGGTCGATTTCCCGGCAGGCGAGTGGGACACGTCGTGCTCGGAGCTGCAGCGGATGATCTTTGTTCGCTCACTGCGCCCGGACCGGGTCAGCGTATGTGTGTCCACGTTCGTCATCCACAACCTGGGGCAGCGCTTCGTCGAGCCGCCCGTGCTCGACTTCCACAGCGTGGTCAGTGGCTGTAGGCAGAGCAGCTCTAGCTTTCTACATACAAGGCTTCTACAATTCTTTCTTCTACTATAATTTTTATAGAAGGATGTCTCGTTGGCTATCATTTTCTGACAATGTGCATCTGATGTTGATGACGTTAAATTGTGTACGTGTGGTGGTGATGGATAGCAATGAATTGAATATAAATTTAACAGTTTCGATTCTCGTGAATTTCCCCTGTTTGTACCGTTTCAAACTTGCCGTCACTCTGAATGATACCTCTGATGCCACCATCAGGTGTTACATGAAGTTTGTTTCGTATTGTGACAGTGACGCATCCTTCCCCCGTTTCAGCTGGAGGACTCTGCGGCCAAGACGCCGCTCATCTTCATCCTGTCTCCGGGCGTAGACCCGACCACGGCTCTGCTCCAGCTGGCCGAGCAGAACGAGATGATGGACCGCTTCTACAGCCTCAGCCTGGGACAGGGACAGGCGCCCATCGCCACACGGTGAACGCGAAGGAGAGCATAATGCTCCTCCCACTTCTGTCTCATGACAATGGCTGAGGTGCTCGAACCTATAACGGACATTTGCAGATGCGATTCGAGAGAAATATTCAATGTAGCACCTTCGGTTGCGATTTTGACAGATGTTTTATTTCCCCCTAGTGTTGAATAAATTGTAGGTATAATTGTATTTGCAATCTTGCATAGCTCATATTTTAATGAGTAATTTAAGTCGGTAAATCATGACTCATGAAATGAGATTACTTTACGTCGGTTACCGACGTAATTTACGTCGGTAACCGCTCCGGTAACTCTCCTCTGTCCGCGCCGCCAGTCTGCTGGAGATGGGTAAACGGGACGGCGGCTGGGTGTTCCTGGCCAACTGTCATCTCTCGCTCTCCTGGATGCCCGAGCTCGACAAGATGGTGGAGGAGATACAGGACGGCGGCGCCAACCCCGAGTTCCGTCTGTGGCTCAGCTCCAGCCCGCACCCCGACTTCCCCATCTCCATCCTTCAGAACGGCATCAAAATCACCACCGAACCGCCCAAGGTGGGAGACGCTGAGAATAGTGCATGCCTTAGTGATTACATATAGGCTGCTTCTCTGGCATTCCAGCAAATTATCCGATCGCTTCCGGCATAAAGATGCTCAAAATATGTCAGCTTCGACTCATTTAACCACATGGTGAAAGTGATTGTGTGGTAGTGTAACGTTGCTGGGCCCGCTATGTTCCGTCATGCTTCAGTGCATTGCGGGACAGTATCAGTCAATCGGTAACCACCCAGCCGGATTTAGTGACCACTTATCCTGTGCTCAACGTGTCACATCCTCCCCATTCTTTACCTTTCCAGGGCATCAAGGCCAACATCAAGCGTCTGTACCAGAACATGACGGAGGCGCAGTTCACCGCCTGTCCGCGCCAGAGCAACTACAAGAAGCTGCTCTTCTCGCTGTGCTTCTTCCACTCGGTGCTGCTGGAGCGGCGCAAGTTCCAGCAGCTCGGCTGGAACATCCTCTACGGGTTCAACGACTCAGACTTCGAGGTCAGTTCCCAGTTGATGCTGTGCATTCTGTGGGGTAGTATTATTCGAGTCTTACGATCCCCTATGTTCGATGAAAGGAACTTGACAGTATCCTACCTCGTTATGCTCCAACGCAGGAATGCTGAAATTTTCAGGAGTCTGTCTGGAAACGGGCATTGGCCTTGGCAGTAATCCATATTATATTGAGAACATCCGTCAATGCATTGTTATTTTGCACATATTCGCTCACCAAACACGATAATTTATTGAATTTAAATCGTCATGGACTCATAGAATCCCATGGTCTTAGTCTTCTCATAGTTTTCTCATACTCATAGTCTTCCTTCCTTATCCCTTCCGTCCGTCCTCGTACTCAGGTGTCTGAGTCGCTGCTGTCGATCTACCTGCGCGAGTACGAGGACCCGCCGTGGGACGCGCTCAAGTACCTGATCGCGGGCGTCATGTACGGCGGGCACGTCACTGACGACTGGGACCGACGCCTGCTCATGACCTACATCAACCAGATGTTCAACGAGGACGTGCTCAACGTCACATACTACAAGTGGGTGATGGGGCTGGATGGATGGATGGATGGCAGGTGTCCTTGTGACTGTCGCGGGTAATTTTTTAGGTTTTGTAGAACTTCCTTAGCCAAATGTAATAATATAAGAAGGTTTATCTCATGCACTCAGTGTCCGTAGAAAACGCCCGGCTTATCAGGGGAGCGGAACCGCCTCGGTTTCAGGCACTTTCATGCATTGTTTCATTTTTGATCCATGAATTCTACGTGCAACCGGTGCATCATATTCACCGTCGTTTTCTGTGATCTGACGCCTCGCCTCTCCCCTCTCAGGCTGTCGTCCCTGGCACACTACTACATCCCTCGGGACGGCCACCTGTCCTACTACCAGGACTTCAGCAACAGCCTGCCCATGGTGGACCACCCGGAGGCGTTCGGACAGCACCCGAACGCCGACATCGCCAGCAGTATCGGAGACGCACGGGTGCTGTTCGAGACGCTGCTGTCGCTGCAGCCGGCCGTGGCCGCCGCGGCCGACGGACAGAGCTCCGACGATAAGGTGCGGAGAGTATGAAAGGGATGTGAGGGCTATGGTAGGACGAATGAAGATCAAAATACTGTGAAATGTATAAATTAGTGTGGATGTTGCGAACCATGAGGCATAAAGTAATGCTTGTAAATGACTTTGTAGCACAGCTGGTCTAATAACTGTTCCCTCTTGCTTGGTCCCGACAAACAATAGATTGCTTACGCAACTATAAATGTATCGAAATTGAAGGCTTATAACATCTCCCCTCCGTTTTCTTTGCAGGTGATCGGTCTGGCCAACGACGTGCTGACCAAGATGCCGGACCTGATCGACTTCGAGAGCACGCAGAAGATTCTCTCCAACGACCCGTGTCCGCTGAATGTGGTCCTGCTGCAGGAGGTCAGTGCTCCGCCCGCACGATGGGTAGTTGATTGCTATGGCTTAGAGGAACATCCAGGGGGAATTGCACTGTTTTCGTAGGAGACAGTGTGGCCCTCTGTTCCCGTTCACGATTTGGGTGTTTGTTACAGATTCAGCGTTACAACGTTCTGCTGGTGATCATCCGCCGATCGCTGGAGGACCTCAAGAAGGGCATCAAGGGCCTGGTGGTGATGTCCTCTGACCTCGAGGAGGTGTTCGTCTGCGTCCTGGAGGGTCGCGTGCCGCCGCCCTGGCTCAAAGGTGGGTACCACGCTGGCCTCGCTCTGCCAGTTATCAGTCGTTAAAAAAAACAGCACTGCTAGAAAATAGCACTTGATCACTTCCAGGATGGGTCAACCTAGAGACGTATCATCCGATGCAATTTTCGTCTGAATTAGGCTCGGTCTCAGGGCGAATAAGCAGGATGCCTGAATTAACCCATTGGTGTTTTTTATGTGCCTGAGATACAAATGTGTCTTCTTTGCGGGAGGAATCATTTACGCAAAGTTCCCGAGCTGATAAAATAAACATCTGAAACAAATACAAATTCGTGTCATTTCCCGATCTTTGCAAGGAATTCAAGCTGCTAGATCATATGAGCTACATCGAGGATAATTTGCTATTTTAAGCTTAAGTCGTGAATGAATTACCGAGAACAGTACACCAGTTTTACTGGAAAGGTGTACCTTGCCCGATTTTCCTTTCAAACAGTGTGTCTATGCAAATTTGCGAACAAACGGGCGTATGAACTAAACGCGCACCGATCATGTCAGACCCAAACCTTCCTGAAAGAAAGCATTCTGGAAAATCGGTTCGATTTTCCGCCTCCGGGTCTTTTGGTCGAATTCTGCCGTCTATAGACGAAGTCGCATCCGAACGGAGCACCGATGAAACCAGCGGTGAGGTGACGGATACCAATGTTTCGGCGCCGACCGGCGCGGCGCGGTGGCGGAGGGCGGCGGCCAACGTTCAACCGTCTCTGGAAGCTTCACCATCTCAGGATGCCGACCGCGAGCGACGGCACACCTCCGTCAAAGACCTGGGCGCCGCCGCCTTCAAGCTGATCAGCGGTCGGACCAACATCCGCCGCTGGATTGACCAGGTGATGAAGAAATCTGGCGGCCCGGGCGTTCCGGAGGAGGCCGAGTATGTGGCGCGACGATTTCTGTTTGAGGACGCCGACCGGCGCTACGACCAGGGCGTGGGCGCCTCGGACACCGGCAAGGTGGAGGATTTCAACGAGGTGGTCGACGTGGACGAGGCACGAGTTGAGACGTTTGTCTCGCAGGAGCTGGTCGGCCACCTGACCAACAGCAAGACGTTCAACTTCTCCATCTTTCTCATCATCGTGTTCAACTCGGTGCTGATCGCGATGCAGACCTCAGACGACCTCACGGAGCGTTTCTCCCTTCCGTTCTCCGTCATCGACCAGGTGGTGCTGACCATCTTCATCTTCGAGATCGCCATCAAGTGGTTCTACGGCTTCTTCTCGTTCTGGCTCGGAGCGTGGAACATCATCGACTTTGTTGTGATCTTCATCCTGCTCTTCGGTAACAACTTCACCTACTTGGCCAGCTCTCGTCTGCTCCGTCTTCTGCGTGTGCTGCGTGCGTTCCGCAGCGTCCGCTCCTTCAGCACGTCCTTGGAGAGCCTGTCGCTAGTGGTGGACACGATCCTGCACTCGATCCCGGACATGGCGAACGTCTCGCTGCTGCTGCTCGTCTTCATGACGGTGGCGGCCGTCATCGGCGTCACCGTGTTCGGAGACGACTTCCAGGAGCACTTTGGGAGTCTGATGGACGCGCTGTTCGTCTGCTTCATCTGTGTCACAGAGGACGGCTGGGTGGACATCTTCACACCCATGCGCGACTCCAAGAACGCCAACATCGCCTTCGCCTCGTCCATCTACTTCCTGTTCCTGGTGATGATCGGCGCGTTCGTCTTCTCGAACCTGATAGTGGCCGTGGTGGTCACCAACCTCGAGATTGCCATGAAGGACTACACCGAGGAGAAGAGTGCCGAGCGGGGCACCCTGTTCAGCAGCTACCTCACCGGCGCCGTCAGGAGCAGCGGCGGCGGAGACGCGGACGACGACGACCCGGCCGACGACTGCACGGTGAAGGTGGTCTCTGTGGACGGCATCCTGTCGGAGAACCCGGAGCTGGTGAGCGGCCAGCGGCCCGTGCAGGTGCCGCCGCCGCTGCGGCCCGACCCGGCGCGCGTGGCGCGGCTCGCCACCGTGCTCGTCTCGCTGCAGGAGAACGTGGCCGAGTACGCGGCGATCCGCGCCGACCTGGCGCGCGCCACGGCCGTGGTGGCCGAGCTGGACGAGATGCTGCAGCGCCAGCTGGTGCCCGAGGACCAGCGCGATCCGGCCGAGCGGCTGCGGCGCGCCAGCCAGATGATGCCGCGCGCCTCGCTGCCCGTGCTGCCCGCGCACAGCTCCATCAACGCGCTGCCCGGGGATATACTGACACACATGGAGGCCATGCAGCTGATGAGAGCCTCGGAGGCCAGCGCGCGATCGGGAGCTATGAATATGATGCGGAAGATATCGAGTGTGATTCTGGGCAGGGACCGCAGCGGTCGGCGCAGCCAGAACGCCACCGAGAGCCGCGCCAAGCCGCTGCACAGGATGAACCAGTACTGAGAACGGCAGCGTTGGTGGTGGTGACAACGGAAGACGATGAAGACGGCAGCGGCTTGTGACATAGCCTGCAAGGTCATTGTTCGAGGTTTCCAAGGAGTTAGAACCCGTTATGTCGAGTGTCAGATACCGAAGGGGATCGAATGTGTCTTGTAGGCTTTGTTGGTCCTGTGAAGTGATGTGAGTGACGTTCTGTGACTTACGAGGTCGTTCGTTGTTGTGTGTCTGTTGCTTGCTTTGCTGTTGCCCACTCGCCTGTGACTTGTAATGTTTTCTGCAAATATATTGATGCAGCTATGAGAGATTCTGAAATCCCGGAAGCAGACGGACAAAAGATATATCAATTTTTTAAAGATGATACCAGGAGAGGTGCCAGCTCATGTCCGACTCTACATCAAATGCACGAGAACGCTGTGCTCCGCCCCACCTCACCCCGTCTCCCGCCGTCTCCTACAGCCTACCCGTCGATGAAGTCTCTGGGCTCGTGGACGCGGGACCTGGTGCAGCGTGTGGAGCAGTTCTCCGAGTGGTCGGAGCGCGCCCGGCCGCCCACGGCCTTCTGGCTGGCCGCCTTCACGTTCCCCACCGGGTTCCTGACAGCGGTGCTGCAGACGGCTGCCCGGCAGCTGCACCTCAGTGTCGACTCGCTGGCCTGGGAGTTTTACGTGCACAACCAGAACGACTCGACCACCAACCTGCTGCCGCATGTAAGTGCAGTAACAGCGACGGGGATAGAGTGGAGACTGGAGGGGTATGAGTGTAAACCTGGCTGATTGAAACAGGGACGTTCGTGTGTCCGTTCTTTACTTGCAGTTTCGGAAATGCTTTCCCTTTTATCCCATAATTAGATTGCAAAAGTTTGCGATGGCGAACACGGTTGTGTCTGCACCCTTCGGTGAAATGGATCGCCCTCTTCCACATTACATCAATCACTCATTGCCTTTCGGCGGATGTCTCGTACAGGAGGGAGTGTATATCTGCGGGATGTTCCTGGAGGGCGCCGGCTGGGACGTCAACAAGCGCTGTCTGGTCGAGGCCGCGCCAATGCAGCTCGTCACACCAATGCCCATCGTACACTTTAAACCCGTGGAGAATAAGAAGAAAAGCGGAAAAGGTAGGTCTGGGCTAAAGCCGTTATGATATCAGGGCATAAAATGAAGTTGGTATGCCACTTAAGCTGGCGGTGTTATTTGCATGCGATTGATATTGAGATATTCAATCATGTTTGCTCACTTATTCAGTCTATACGCTCTCGTTATTTCTTGCCTGTCGGGAGCCGACGGAGCCCCACACACCAATTACAGTCCCCCGTCCCTTCACACAGGACTGTACACGTGTCCGGCGTATTACTACCCGAACCGGTCGGGCACCGGTCACTACCCGTCCTTTGTGGTGGCCGTGGACCTGCGCTCCGGCGACTCCCCCTCCGACCACTGGATTCGACGGGCGGCCGCTCTGCTCCTCAGTCTGTCAGACTAATGGGGGGGGGGGGGTAGTGCGGGCTGCGTGAGGACCGTGGGAGCTGTGGCAGAGGAGTGGGGAGTGCTGGCAGGTCAAAAGGGGGCGTCAGGTTAGGTCATGGGAGTGAGGAGATCCGATAGGTTATCATGGGCCAAGGGTAGTGAGAGATGGCCCTTCTAGTCATTCAGGTTGTCAGATCGGATAGGGTTGAAATGCGAGTGAGTCGTGCGTTTGAGTAACGGGATTAGTTTTCGTTAGCCAGTGAAGAAAAAGAAAATAGTGATCTCAGATGATCTTTCATTGTAAATAGTGCTGAAGAATCGTGTAATTTGATCGTGAACGGATTGTGATATGCGATTGTGGCCCAAGCTACGCTCGTTAGAATTTAACGAGAGACGCTTCGACTGAATGGATATGTAATGGAGTGAAGAAGCGCTGACGAACAACTGTGATAGCTACCCAGCGATCTCAAATCATGGTCTCCTGACTCGTGTTTTCTAGTCCGCCGTCCCATAGTGTACAAATGTATATTTTAGGTGACTCATGTCGTACTGTGTCGTAATGATTTGTTGCAATCATGTTCATCGATTGTTCGATCTTTTCGATGGTCAGTAAAGAAAAAAAGCATTAATCTCTATTGTTAACATTTAAACCGTTCTAGTCAACCGTACAAACGTTTATTTCTTGCCATAGTGCCTATATTGTGTTCGAAGCGTTTCAACCCGCTCAGTTGGGTTACATGATAACTATGCCTAAAAGACAATTTCTTCATGCGAATTTGTATTTACACGTTTTGTTCAAAATACAGGAATGTATCGGTCAATCGTCGAATGTTTCCTGGCTCAAGCCGCTTTCCTTCCCTCCACCTATAAAGCTACCTGCTTTATGTTGAGTATTATCGTTTTCAATAAAAGGAACTCCCTTTTTCCACAAGAGCAAGCGAACTGGATCACTTGCGAAACAATGCATAACATTTCAGTTTCACTATTTCTTCTAAACATGGTCTCCCTGGAGTTAGCGCACCATTTACGCTTGACGAGAAGTCCAGAAACCCGTTGCCGATAGTGGCCGTTTTAGTGTGCCAATGTGACTGCGACCACTCAGCAAATATGATAGTGGCTACTCCGTACTTTGCAAGCTTCGTATAATAATGTCGTGGTCACTTAAGCTCAGGCTACCGGGTTTGAGTTTGGCAGATTCGCCAAAGCCTCTTTTCTCCCTGACAGCAGGGACTCCGAAATATCTTCCCCTGGCACTTCGTACCGGCATCCAGTTATCTCTCCTCACCTCTATCCCGTGTGCCATCTCAGTCGCTTCTGTCCCTCCCCCTGACCCACGCTGACACTCCATCCATTCCACCGCCCCCATCACCTCCCTCCTCAGTGCGGGTGTGTGCGCGGGTCGGGTTTGATCTCGGGCCGCGGCAGCTGAGAGCCCTCCGGCGCGTTACCTCCGCGGTACCTCCCGAATGTAGCCAGTAGCAGGTGCCGCGCCGCGTCGGCCGTGTACTGCGCCTGCTGCGGAGTTCCCAGCTGCGGGTTCACCTCGACCACGTCCATGGAGCGCAGCGTGCCCCACTTGCAGACCTCCTCCATCACGGTCTGACCCTCGCGCAGACTCAGACCGCCACGCACTGAAACAGGAGGCCGGGGTGGTGAGTTAGGCTGCTTATAAGGCAGCAATATTAGATTTTCGACATATGGCTAAATTTTCCGAGCTTTCATTCAAGGAGATATAAAGTATAAGTGATCGCATAAACTAAGGCGTCCTAACAAGCATCGATCGGTGCGTTTGCATATATGCAAACGCATATATTATATTGTCCATTTTATAATCATCACCGTAACAAATTTTTCGAAACTGATTCCATTCTGTCACTCGGTCAGTCGGTCTCCCACTTCACCCTAGTACGCAGTCTCTTTAATTTTCCCTCCCACTCTCCCTCTTCTCTGTCCCGTAATTCGTTGCCCCTCGCTCCTTCTCCGACCTGGTGTTCCGGTGCACGGCGCCTCGGACGGGTCCAGCGCGTCCACGTCGAAGCTGACGTGCAGGGACGAGTCGGCGCCCACTCCGGCACCCAGCTGGTCCAACGCCATCTCAACCACCTGACCGAGACGGAATGGGATGGCGTGTTAGAGAGCGATGTTGAAACTCACATAAGATATCATCGAGGCCAAATAGACGGTTTGGCTTGGTTCGTCACAAGATGACATGTGAGCCATAGCTTAGTTTTGTACGGAGATCGCACCTACAAAAAAGAGCCATCCAACTGAGACGAGGGAGAGGCAAATTCAAATATACACTTAGATCCCGGATTGTTTCTGGGGTAGCTGAGAGTTCATCACCAATCACTCACCTTATCGATTCCAAGTCTGTCGATCTCCCTCATGGCGTATGCGCGGATGCCGAACTCCTGGATGGCCACCCTCTCCAGCGGGTCGACGGCCCTCAGTCCGATGTAGACTAGTTTGGAGGGGTGCAGGCACGGCTTGCACCAGCGCAGGTCGGGCAGGTCCAGGTGGAAGGCCTCCATGCCACGCATCAGGAACGATAGAGGTTTACCGTGGAAGTTACCCGAGTCGGAGGTCAGAGCTGCGGCGGGGTGGGGGAGCGGTCAGAGAGAGGTCAGGTCAGGTAATGGTCAGAAAATAGTTACGTCATGTATAGAATAGTGATCGGAGAAAGGTCAGGCCATCGCATGCCATTTTGTTATGCATGGTCATATCAATAAGTCTCATTGAATGGGGACGGTCACATCGCGATGAAAACAGGTGACGACTTAGCAAAGCTTAGCAAACACTGAAACTGTTAATTACGTTAAATGCATTTGCCGTCTTTTTTTCAGAAAGGAACCATGCTCTTTAGTCCCAGTGAACTCTCCCTCTCCCTTTGGCACCCTCCTCTCCTCGTCTCTCACGTGTATTGATGTCAGCGTGCGCGTCCACCCACAGCACGGCCAGCTTGTCGTGTCGCACCGTCTGCCCGTGGCCGTGGATGGTGCCGATGGCGATGCTGTGGTCGCCGCCCAGTGTCACCACCACGTCGTGCTGGCCCAGCGCTGATGACACCCGCTCAGACAACTGACGGTGTGAGGGGAGAAAAGTGAACGGACGGCCGTGGTGATGCGTACGGGTGCAGTCGGAGCTTTGGGCTAAAGACGGCTCATACCTTTTGCTAGATATGCGAACCGGAGCATTTTTAGATCGCGAACAGAACAGTTCATTTGACTCACACACACATGCAACATGGGCTATCTGATTTTCTTCATTGACGTTTCTGCGAGCCTATAAAACGAGTTTTGTGTAATCAACATTAAAGGGACCCTCCCACCTTCAAAAAAGTTAATGAATTGGCATGAAAGTGATGTCCCTTGGTTCAGAAAGAGCGAAAACGAATATCTACCAAATTTCACCGAAAAATATTCACTGGTTTTCAAGATATTAGACTTTTACTTTTGTTTACTTTTTGGGATCTCCCCTGTTACTAGCGACTTTATTTGGAAGCAATAATTTGGCAGCCCTAAAGTGCGGCAGACGTTGCGCGCAAAGCAGCGTATACCACCACGTGTTAAAGATGGTTTTAGTCTAAGATTAAAACATCGTTAGATCTCCGCTGACGTCACAAATTCTAAGGGGGCATTCCAAAGCATTAGCCCCTTAGAATCCGAAAACTGCAAGTTTGAAATTCCATATCTTCGAATTAAAGCATTTTTCGATGTTGTGAGTGTCCAAACCGTTATTTGCAGCTCATGGCCACCAATTTGGCTATCTCAACTCAAAACTAATGTTAAGGTGGGAGGGTCCCTTTTTAACGCGACGTAAGCAGGGGTGGATTTTTTTGTTTTTTATTGGGGTTGCACAGCCCTGAAAGGGCGCCCAAAGCGGTTCCGAGGGGCGCAATAGTCCGGAAGTGGGCGCCACCAGGTACGGTCGTAAACTTGGCGTTGGGGGGGGGGGGGGGAATTGGCAAAGGGGCCCCTGTAGACCCTCGCTGGGGGCGGTGTGTTAGCTTAACCCGCGTTCCGCGGAGGGGGGGGGGCGAATATCCGCCCCCCCTCCCCCTGAAGTTTTTGGTCAGTAGCGGAAAACTTCTGAAACCAGTATGAGACCCTTATATAAGCCCGGCGTAAGATCATTTAAGGCCAGTGTTGAGATTGACCCTCATAAACCGGGTGAGACCTCGCATAGCAATATGGGTCTTTGAACTCCAACGTGGGTTTTACGAGACCTGCCTGAGCCATCAGAGGCCAGTGCGGGCCCGGGGTCATCAAAGGCCAGTGCGGGGTCGTCAAAGGCCAGTTCGGAACCTCTGAGGTGGTGTGAGCCCTTGAGGCCAGCGTTGGTCCTTGAGAGGTCAATGTGGGACACCTTGACTGGTATGGGCCCTAAGAGACATGTGTGGTGCCAATGCGACCCAAAATAGACACAACTAACGACATGAGGCTCTCAGAGACTAGCAGCGGCCCTTAAAAACCTGCACGGGCCAAACAGATCGACAGGGGCCCTCCGAGATCGGCAGAGAATAAGAAGATGGCATGAGGCGCCTATGATGGGCAGGCCCGGGCTCTCAAAGACCTAAATGGAACTATCTGAGACCAGGGACCCTTGGCAGCAGACATGGGCCCTCAGAAACCGATGTGACCCCGATATGGTAATAGACCTTAATGCCGGCCCGCTGCGACGAGATAACGGCCCTCAAATTCCGAAATTCCGACATGGGGACCAACAGAGACTGACAGGGAACCTTGGAGGACGACATGAAACGCTAAAAGTTCTTCCTTGGACCCCAGAGACTAAAGACGGGACTCTCAGAGTCTGGTGGAGGGCCCTCTGAAGTCTGAGGCCTGTTTTGGGCCACCAAGGTCCGGTTTGGTCCATCAGATGCCGGTTATGGCCCTCAAAAGCCGGTTTGGGACCCTGAGTGGCCACTGGCCAGTACTGGCCCTCCAAAACCAGTTGGTCATCAGAGGCCAGCTCAATATGATCCCTTACAGGCCAGTGTGGAGCTCTCGGAGGTCAATGTGGGCCCTCAGAGCCCAGTGCGAGGCACCCAAAGTTTAATCTTGAGCCCCCAGCGACCGGAGTGGGTTCATCAGAGGCTAGTGTGGGTCCCTCAGAGGAGCCCGATTCGGGGCCCTCAGAGGTCGGTGTAGGGCCCTCAAAGGCCAGTATTGGCCCTCAAAGGCCTGTATGGGGCCCTTAGAAGCCAGTTTAGGGCCCTCTGGGCTCTGAGACCAGTACAGGGCCTTCAAAGGTCAGTTTGGAACCATTAGAGGCCGACGTGGGCCCTCAGAGGCCAGTGTGATTTCTACAGGCCAACGTGAAGCCCTCAGAGGTCAGTATGGGGCCCTAAAAGACCGGACAGAGTGTCCTCAAAAGCCAGGATGGGCCCTCAGAGGCCAATGTTGGTCCTAAGAGACCGGCATCGGGCCTTCAGAAGCCAGTACGGGCCCTCAGAAGTGCCCAAGGTTTAGTCTTTGTCCGCCAGAGACAGAAATCGGACCATCCGAAGCCACGGTGTTGGGCCCTAGGAGGCCAGTTTGGGCCGTCAGAGACCAGTTTGGACCCTCAAAAGACCAGCGTGGGTCCGTACCGGCAGTGTGAGGCCCTCAGAGACCAGTACAGAGCCTTCAAAGGGCAGTTTGGAACCATCAGATGCCGACGTGGGCCCTAACATGCCGGTGTGGTATCTTACAGGCCAGCGTGGAGCCCTCAGATGTCAGTGTGGGGCCCTAAAAGACCAGCATGGGTCGGTGTTGGACCCCAGAGGTCAGCATAAGGCCCCCAGAGGCCGATGTGAACCCTAAGAGACCGGCATCGGGCCTTCAGAAGTCAGTACGGGCCCTCAGGGACACCCAAAGGCCAGTGTTGGGCCCTCAGAAAAAGAAATGTGGCCATTAGAGGCGTGGACCCCCAGAGACCAGTTTGGGAGCCCTCGAGACCAGTACAGGGCCCTCAAAGGCCAGTTTGAGGCCCTCAGAGGTCGATGCGGGCTCTTAGTGACCGGCACCGATAGGTCAGTCCTGAACCCCAGAGACAGAAATGAGGCCATCAAGAGATCAGTGTGGAGCCCTCAAAGGCCGGTTGGGGGACTCTTGATGCCGCTTTAGGGCCCTCAAGGGCCAGTGAAAGGCCCTGAGAGGTCGATGTGGGCCCTCATTGGTCGATGTGGGCCCTCATCGGTCAAGGTGGGCCCTTGAAGGCCACTGAAGCGCCCTCAGAAGTCAGGATACTCAAAGACCGGTATGGGGGCTGTTACATAATACCTGGCGTTGGTTTCTTGAGCCTCGTGGCAATCGGGTAAGAGCCAGGGCCCCTACGCCCATCGGGGCCCATCGGTTGTTTACCACGCGCACCGACGGGGGGGGCGGATATCCGCCCCCCTGAGGTTTTTCCCTAATAGCGGGAAAACCGCGGCGCGTAGCGCCGCGAAATTTGGTACGACTATTCTCTCATCAATTTTACACATGGTGTGCAAGTTTGAACTTCTTAACTTTTAAGGTCAGGTCACCAGGTCACTTTGAATGACCCAACCTCAAGTCACTTTTTTGCAACTTTGTCACCGTGCCAGAGCTACAGTAGATGTCGGAGGCCTTTGAAAGTTGCAGGATGTTATAAGGTCATTAGTAGCTACAATTTGTTCATCTCGGAATTTTGATATCGGTGACCTAAGGTCAGGTCAATTTCGCGACCTCCCCATTATAAGTCAATGGGGGAAAAATCAACTCCCTGTTTTTACCACTAAATGGGTCGGAATGGCCCCATATACCATGTATGACTTCATATACGATCAACCTTCACTACCTTGAGGTCAGTTTTGCTGTTGGGCAGCTGTAAGGTCATGTGACGTCATCAATGGTCACCAAAGTTTTTTTTTGCCAGTAACTCCGTACAGGAACAAGATACAGACGCGTGGATGGTCTCATTGTGTTCAGCTCGGCAAGACGCATCGAATGATATACATGATGACCTCGAGGTCACGTGACCTGAGGTCAACCTTCGACCTTGACCTTTCGAGGTCATCATATATATCATTCGATGCGGATTTACGAGAGGATCACGATGTTGCCCTTAGTTTGTTCCTATCTTGACTAATTCGAAAGTTATTCGAGAAAAACTCTCTCCATATCTAGCGTCGCCATTTTGACTTTTTTGACCCCTGTAACGTCATCTTTGACCTGACCTGAAAATGATCTTTGTAAAAATTGTAGACCTTGTCCGTGCGTATCCGATGCCGTTTACCGCTTGTCGCTATCTTGCTTCGTTCTCGAGATCTCAGGGGGGGGCGGTCATCCGCCCCCCCCCCCCGTCGGTACGAAGTTGGCGCAGCCCCCCGTCGGTGCGCGGGGGGAAAATTATATGATGGCCCCTGATTTGTCTTTGGGGGGCCATGGCCCTGATGCCCCCTGCGACCTCCACTGGGCACCACCCCCACCTCCGACTGAGCGGTGAGCGGCGCACCAGGAATCGAAATCCACGATTTTTTTAACTGGTCATTTTTGCATGTCCGACAGCTTTATACGGCCTTGTGACAGCTCAAGATCTTGAGAGGAGGGTAGTACCTACATTAGAGGGGGCGGCGATGGCATTTGCACTTGAGGCGGCAGCGCCTACACTTAGAGGGGGCGGCACCTACATTTTATGGGCAGCACCCTAACTTGAGGGGCGGCACCCACGCATGTGGGGGGGGGGGGGGCGGCATCTGAGGGAAAGGCACCTTCATTTCAAGGGGTGGCACCTACACTTAGGGGGTGGCACCTACATTTGAGGGGGCTGCACTGCAACTAGGCCTTAGGGGGCGGCAACTACACCCTAGGGGGTGCCATCTACATTCGAAGGGACGGCACCTACATTTTATGGGATGACCGATGACACCTATGCATAAGTGGCCGGGGCCAACATTTGAGGGGGCGGCGCGGCACCTTCATTCGAGGGGGCGGCACTAACATTTGAGGGGGCGGCACCTAGGTACATTCGAGAAGGGCTGGCATCTACATTCGAGGGGGCGGCCTAACATTTGAGGGGGCGGCACCTACATTCGAGGAGGGCCGGCATCTACATTCGAGGGGGCGGCACTTACATTTGAGGGGGCGGCACCTACATTCGAGGGGCGGCATTTAGGTACATTTGAGGGGGCGGCACCAACATTCGAGGAGGGCCGGCATCTACATTCGAGGGGCGGCACTAACATTTGAGGGGGCGGCACGTGCATTCGAGGAGGGCCGGCACCTACATTCGAGGGGGCGGCACTAACATTTGAGGGGGCGGCACCTACATTCGAGGAGACAGCGCCTACATTCGAGGGGCGACATTTACATTTGAGGGGGCGGCACCTACATTCGCGGGGGCGGCACTTACATTCGAGGAGGGCCGGCATCTACATTCGAGGGGGGCCGGCATCTACATTCGAGGGAGGGGGCGGCACTTACATTTGAGGGGGCGGCACTTACATTCGAGGGGGCGGCACCTACATTCGGGGGGCGGCATTTAGGTACATTTGAGGGGCGGCACCATCATTCGAGGGGGTGGCACCTACATTCGAGGGGGCGGCACCTACATTCGAGGGGGCGGCACTTACATTTGAGGGGGCGGCACCTACATTCGAGGGGCGGCACCTACATTCGAGGGAGCGGCACCTACATTTGAGGTCTGAGGAGGCGGCAACTACACTAGATAGTTGAGGGGTGACTATTGCCTACATGATGGGTAGGGCTCTTTTGAAAGATGGTGCCAAGTCAACGGGTGGCATATAGTTTTGGGATGGCTCAGGGTTATGGGGGCGGCACCATTCGAGTCGCCCGCCGATTTATTTCAGTTGTAAAGTTGGGGTTGCACAAACCGATGTTGGGGTTGCACAATTCAAAGTTGGGGTTGCACGTGCAACCCCAACTTTATATAAAAATCCACCCCTGGACGTAAGACTGGGCCTTTTCGATCCCACTCCCACTTCCAAACGTCAACCGTTAGCCGCCCATCACGACCACCCACCACGGACCGACCTGCTGGTTGAACCGTCCCACGCTGGTGGCGTTTTTCATCCTGGCGCGTCCATCCTCTGCCCTGTACTCGGCGGGCACCGCCTCCTGCAGTCGGAGATCACCGAGGTCCCTCACGGTGTGACCCAGCGCGGTGAGGTCCTGCAGCACGCCCGTCTGACGTACCGCGCCCGGGCCCAGACTGGCGCCGCTGCGGGTCTGTCGGGGGTAAGGAGAGCGGTCAGAGGTGTCTGTGGTAGGGGATAGACGGTGGACGGTGCTGTAGTGTTTATAGTGGTTAGTTGGCATTAGTTATCATATGCCATTTCACGGGATTTATGTGGAAGTTTGGGTAAGGATATTAGACGGTACGATGCAATGCTACGTGTGCGTTTATGCATAACCGACGTGTTGCCAAAGGCGTCATGAAACACGATCAATAAATAGATCGCCCGCTACCGTCCGCCGTCTTCACTCGGACGTTTACCGTTCACCCAACCGTTTACCGTGACCCGCCGTTCAAAGTCGCCCTTGCCGGTCAGAGCTCCGGTAAACCAGCTCTGATAACTCCTCAGTGAATGGCTGTGTGAGTGTGTGAGGGCCGCCATCAGCCGTGGAGTACCGCCGCCGCCGCCGCCGCCGTCAGCACACCGTGTTATGTTCAGCTATTGGAGGAGAGCGCTCTGGGTACTGCCAAGGTGAAGGACATACGCGCGCCGAGTCGATACAAGGCCGTCCGAGCGCCGACGCGGTGCGGGTATTGGTATGCGGTGCGGGACTTGCTCCGACGTATGACCGTCTTACGGGCCGCACGCTGACGCTGCTGTCAATGCAGGGGTGAATCGTCTCCTTGAACGGCATTCTAATTGCAAACCGTCTTATATGGTCCGTAAGATGAGCAATTAATAAATTGTATACCTCATAAACGGGCTTAATGCAATAAACACATTTGTTTACGTTACGCGGAATATCAGTCGACCCGTCTCGTCTTGACCCTGTGGGTCGCAAGTTGTGGCCCGGTTGTAACTCTGTGTTGTTACCGTAACCCGCACTGTCACCTGGCACAAACAGACAGTCACAGAGGTGCTGGTGCTCTGACGTCACGGCCAAGCCCCCAGCCGGGAAGGGGAGGGGGTGTGGACCGGGACCGGTTTGGGAGGCTCGCCGGCCCATGCAGGGTGCGCTGAATACTAACGATAGGCGGTCTCAGGGGACGTGTGGCCTCTGTCGCCGTACAGAGGTGTCGGACGAGAGCTGCAGCCGAATTTAGGTGCCTAAACGTTAGCTTTTACACGAGTTTACGCATCAAACATTCACTCGTTGCAACCGTTCATTCGGGTTCACTTAGTTCCGATTATTTCATTTGTTGACTATTTTGATTTGTAACGTTTAAGACTATACCAACGACGGCTTTATTTACCTGCTTTCCGACTATTCGTCAGGATAACTCAACTTTAGACGTATAAATTTCACCTTCAATGGAATAACGGATTAAACGGAACTGTCCAAGCAAGTGACGTGGCTATGACCAAATAATCACATCAGCTATTCCAGTTTATACCAGCGCCAGCCACACATCTCGTGTCCGGTTCTCACCAGTTTAGCGCTCCAATTCAGGCGTTTTTATTCGGAGTTGTGTGTGTCGCAACTCGCAACTATCTGTAAGAATCTTGGTCGCAACCTTCCCGTCCTACGTAACTGAGTGCCAGTGTCCCTTCAGAGCTCCAGTAAACGGGACGGGCCGGGGAGCTACGAGCTCTGCACGGCTCTGCCGGCCCCGAGACGGTGCGGACGACCGACGACGTCCATTCAGCGAGGCACGTGATCTTGACCGAGAGGGGACGGCGAGCCGGGGCCGGCAGAGACGGTGAGAAGGGGGCGTGTGGTCAGAATTCTGGAAGTTTGTTGCGAAAGCAGGAATGACAAGAGTGCATGAGAAGGCTTTGAGGCCGGACTGGATGTCGGCGGTTGATTCACATCATTCAGATGGAAGGTCTGAAAATGTTGGCGAGTGGAACGGTACGCCGGCAATGAGCTCGGTCAAGTGAGTATTGTATTCGGTGGCTTTATGAACGGACAACGGCCTGATCGATCGATCGATCAGTCATCGGTTATCTGGTTCCGTTCCGAAAGTTTTATTTCTGCTCACAGTTTTGTTTGTTTTGCTGGGAGCAATCAGCAAGCTCTTTCGGCCTGAACGGCATTGCAGAGCTATTGGATGAGAGGATAGGGCGTAGCCATTGGGCTGTGCAGGCCATCGAGATTGAGCCGCAGCGGCGAGACCGTCCTGGTGGGACCGGATTGCCCCGATGGGACAGTGCACTGGCGCCTCCTAAACGGTCGTAAAGGATTTTAACGGGTCCTGGTGCGGACCCAACCTCAACCACCGGTTGTTTGGGTGGGGTTGACCGCCAGCCCAGAAAGGGAGCGTGAGGGGGATACGCCGGATGGGTTTGTCCTGAGCATGGTGAGGACGGATGTGTGACCCTGACCGACCCAACACCTCGTTTTAATCTGTATGTTATCCCGCTACGAACTGACCCGAGCGCCCCGCACTGGTTTGTCCGGTATAATCCTGTTCAAACCCGATCTAGCGCGCCACACTGACCTGACCCTTATCGAAGGCGGCGCCGAGCACTCCAATGGACACAGAGCGAGCATTTGGCGGCGGCTGGGAGCGGCCCAGCCTGCCGGCCACACGAGAGCACGAGAGCAGCATGACTACCGTACCTGATGGCCCGGCCGGCGGCGGCAGGCGCCGTCTCCGTCCGGCTCCGTCCGGCCCCGCCGCCAGGCCTGATGGGACGCCAGATACAGCGAGAGGGGGCGGCGCGCGCGGCAGGGGCGGCAGGGCATATGGGGATGTGGGGGCAGCAGGGCACATGGGGATGTGGGGGAGACGAGCCGTTACTGCTTATATCATCGTTAATTGTTTTACCCCGCGATCGCAGTCTCCCGGATGACGAAGATCGGACAATAGCGTTCGATAACCGTGACCCAGCCCCCGCCGACCGCAAACGGGATTGGCCGAACGGAGTAGGATCTTCGTCTTCCGGGAGACTGCGAACGCGAGGCTAGCCATTTGTCGGCATTTTTTAACGAAAATGTATTGGCTAGCAATTTAACTGTAACACTTTTATCAAATTTGTTTTTATTTCATGAGAATTCTCAAATTCTCTTTTGTTTTTAAACGTAACGAAAACATTGTTTCCCGTATATCTGTTGTTTTCAATTAGCAGCTACAACCTACCATTTTATGCCTTAGCTGCGCAATAGATGAAATACCAGGCTGCTGTTCGAAGAGTATTAAATGCTTTCGAGACTAACCTTTAGTTACCATGGTAATTTCATATGAAGAATGTAAAAGAATACGAAAGACAGCATATGTCCAATTTTTCTGACTTTTTTCCATTTTTCAACTCATTTTCACTATTTCTTTCTTCCCTGAACGTTTTTTGAAACCTTTTGACAATAATTTCCCAGCATGACGTCATTGGCCTTTAACTATGAGCAGACGCGTGTTCTGTGATTGAACAGTGAACACATTTGTTTTGTTTGATATCAATGTTGAACATCAATCAACACCAAAGCTGAAGCGTAGATGCTTTTCCTGCAAATATTTAACAATAGTTTATTGAATTAAGATAATTAACATTCATGTTACGACTTCCAAGCCATATTTGAGTCATGGAGCTCATTTATCACTATCACATTTGCATTTGAGCCCAAAAATTGAACGTTTTCCTGATTGCGTTCAGACATCGTTTCAGTTTGCACTTTCCATAAATACATAAACATTAATGTAGAAGTTTTCACAATGTATAAAGCAGTATTCTGACATCTCCATTTATGTTTCCATCCCAATCTCTGATGACTCATGCATTCACTGTAACCTCTAAGGTTCAAAGACACCTAGGTTAGATTTTAAATTTGTTGTATACTGATACCTACCTACTGCAATGTGTTCACAATTTTTTTTCATTTCCTCATGTGCCCATGTATTAGCAAAAAAGTAATAAACTGGTGTAATGTAATGTAACAATTTCTCCACTGCAGGTCATCTGAGGCCTCTACTTACCACCGAACTGTGACAATGCGTTGGTGGCTCTCTCTGGGCTGCCTGTGGAGCTGCTTCCTGCTTCTACTGGCTCTGATAAACTATCACTTCTACCAGTCATGTGACAGCCCTCAGACCACCCAACTCTGGTCCACACCAGCCAACAGCCACACCCAGGCTCGGGACAACCTCTCCGACTACTGGACATCTCGCAGCAAACTCTTAACTGCCGACCAGCTCCTGGAGACAGGTGGCACAGTGGTGCTCCATGGTGCTGAACAGCAAGTCAATGACCTTCTGACTGTGTTCAAAAGGGAGGAGTACAAGGAGACTCCATTTGAGGCTGGCAGGCACTTTATGAATGCACGGGAGGATATAGAAAAGTCAAATGTCTTTGAGCTCATCCGCATGATGCCTAAAGGTGAGCAATAGGGCAGGCTGTGCTGGAATCTGTCACGTTCAATTACTGAGGTCGAAAGTCGTGTCGATAAGGTTTTCTTGCTAGATCTTGAACTAAAATAAGCCAGTCCCGTAGCTCAGTTGGTAGAGCGTTGGACTCTGCGTGGTGAGACTTGGGAGCACGCGTTCCCGGTTACAACAGTCCGGGTTCGAAGCGCGACGGGCGCTTGACATTTATGGGCCTCCTGACAGGTATGGTTGCGGTTGGTGGCAGGCCGTAGCCAGGTGAAGTCAGCGAGGGGACCGGCCGTGCGTGGCTATGTGCGCACGTTAAACTTTGGACTCTAAATTCTGCCATATAACTGGAATTGCGCGATCGGAGGGTAGAGGGCAGGATCACCGCAACAAGCTTCGCTTAGCGGTGGCTCTGTCCTTGTGAATCCTTCCTATCAAAGGGTTCGGACTAAATTTATATAAAAATGTCGCCTAACTGTAAATTTTCCGTAGATATAACATTCACTTCTTGAACCCATTTTGATGTTTTTTCATGCACACTGTTTAGTGTTTACCTTTACTGCGATAGTTTTCCGGATTTGAGCTGTTGCTGTGTCCTGCTTATGTTTTTCGCGTACCTTTTACGAATCAACGCCATTAATGTGATCTGTTTACGCTTTCCGCGTACCTACGTTTTCCGAATTTGAGCTAGCAATGTGATTATACATTATAATACACATTAACCATTTCTTCCGTTTCTAGGCAGCATGCTGCACATTCACGACATCTCGATGTTGTCTGTAGAGAAGCTGGTGTCCAACATCACCTACATGGACCACCTTTACCTCTGCAACTCCACTCAGGTCAGTAATAAGGGCAAACAACACCTACACACGGTCCTGTCAAATCAGATGACAGGCTGCCAGAACAGAGATGCAAGATCTGACAGCTCGTATCGCACTATCTCTTTACAGTCGTCGGGTGAGCCGGACGTACGGCTGCAGTTTTTCGCCGCCCCGGACACGACCTGTGATTGGCTGCTGCTGAGTGACGTCAGAGCGTCCCTCGGAGCCGGTCCGGTGGACCAGTGGCTGATTGGACAGCTATCCATGATCGTGGAGCAACCCGATGGTACGGCACAGAAAAAGAGTTGTGGGCATGAGGGGTGGGATGTGATTATGGATACGCCAGTCAGTTTTTCGACGGGGAGGTAAAAGTGTGTCGAGAAATGTACCTAAGTGACAGAAGGGGATGACTGTTTCTCATATTGGCGCAGAAGCAGTGAATGCCTATTTAATTATGTGCCGCTAGCATTCGGTGTTTTCAGTAACCGTTGATCGGATCGATGAATTATGGTGCCACCGCTATACGTATCTGCTGCGCTTGTTAAGTTTCCGTTGGCGTCAACGCTAACGTGTTCTGCCCTTTTCTCATCTGCCCTCTCCGCTGTCCTATTGACGCCATCTATCCGTCTAGGCTCTAACACTCGCTGTCCCCATCACTGCGTCTTCAGACGTGTACGAGGACCTGCACAGCTCGTGGGCGGCCTTTGACGGCGTCATCAGCCGGGTGCGGGGCATGATTCACTACGAGCACGCCTGGCGACGGGTGATCAGTCTGGCACTGCAGGAGATGGCGGACGATAACATCCAGTACGCGGAGATTCGCTCATCCCTGCCTCAGGTGGGTATCGAATACCGATACACAAGTGTGAGATAATCGTAACTTGTACCTATATTTGAGCATAGATTGACGACCATGATGAACCACGCATGTTGAATCATTTGAATCATGCTGGATAGTTTGCGTTCGCTGATATTGGTGTCTGTTGAGTTTGTGAAGTATCGTTAAAGTATCGATACTGCATCGATGTGACGATTTATAGTATCAAAACTGGGATGACTTGCCCCTCCCTGCTCCATTGCTCATGTCCCATCTTTCTGAGACCTACCTCGCCCCGTTACAGCTGAGTGACCTGTCGGGTAACCTGTACCCGGCCTCCCACACCATCGACATTTACCGGGCGGCGCTTCTCGAAGCGGCCAGTAGTGACCAGGGTAACCGGTTCTGGGGAGGACGGGTCATCCTGGCCATGAGCAGACACGTCTCACCCGAACAGGTTGGTGATTAGGTGATTACGTTTCCGTGATAACGTTTTTTCTAATTGCCTTTGCCTTTGTGGAGAATGTTTCGTTTCGTTTACATTGGTTTCGTGGACACGATAAGCTACCGCACTTTTTTCTCGTTGGTTCTTGCTGCCGTCTATTTTATTTACCTTATCGAATTATTTTCCAGTTGATCGGTTCAGCTGTTAACCAGTGCTGAGTGCCCAGCTGCATGAGCTGGGAAAAAAATAGAACGTTTAGCTAAATGATTTAGGACACGATGCCTTGCCCTTCATTTTTCGACCGCTACACGTTCTGGCGACCTCCCACCTAAGCTCTGTTTCCCCCCCTCGTCCACCAGGTGTCAGCGGACGTGGACCGTGTGCTGCAGCTGCACGCCGACCAGCCCGACCTGGTGGCCGGGTTCGACCTGGTGGCAGAGGAGGACTGCGGCGCTCCGCTGAAGGAGTTTGTACCACAGCTACTGCGGCTGGCGGAGAACGGAGTGCAGACTTTCTACCACGCCGGAGAGACATGTGAGAACGGGGCTTCAAGGATGGAGACCGGGATGGGAAGGAAATGGTACCGGGAGCAAAATTGAAGAAAACGTTTCCGAGAGTTTTGATGTGCCTACGACAGGCTCTCACACATTTCTTGGGTACCTTTTGTCATTTGTGTTATCCGAACCATCTCAATCAAGCTAACTTTGACTTCTGCCTCCCTCCACTCAAACTGGCTGTAGGGATGAGGACTCTTCGTCCGCCACTATCTCGCCTTCTAACCGAGTCTGCCTCCTCCTCTCCCACCCAGATTGGCTGGGCACGAAGCTTCACTTCCCATCTGATCGAGTATTTTCCCCTCAATCCTTAGATTGGCTGGGCACTGACGTGGACGAGAACCTGTACGACGCGATCCTGCTGAACGCCTCCCGCGTCGGCCACGGGTACGGCATCGTCAAACACCCGCTGCTGATGAGGGAGGCGGCGCGGAGAGGCGTGGCCATGGAGGTGTGCCCCATCTCCAACCAGGTACAGATCCGTGTGAGGGGTGCCCCATCTCCAACCAGGTACGGCCAGTGGCGACGTGGGTAGGTTAGTACATGTTCCCATTTTACTTTTGTATCAAGCCAGTGATAGCTCTGTTAATATTGCCATCGCTCGTTATCGGTTACTCTCCTCAGATGTGTGTAAGGTACGATGTCGTGGCCGGAGGATTTCGCCCTTTTTCTCCTTCATACCTGCATCTTTCACCTTTGCTTACCATCCGCTCTCCTTTACTCACTATCTGGTCATTATTTCTTATCACCTCTGCGCCTTCCCTTGGTTCATCTCAGGTACTAGATTTGAGAGTAACCTCCTCTCCCTGTTTCAGGTTCTGGGTCTGGTCAGTGACCTCCGTAACCACCCGGCGGCTGTACTCCTCGCCTCCGGCCTCCCTGTGGTGGTATCGGCCGACGACCCGGGCGCCTGGGGTGCCGCCGGGCTCTCCTACGACTTCTACCTGACGCTGATGGCGCTGGCCGGCCGGCGCGCCGACCTGAGCACGCTCAAAGAGCTGGCCATCAACTCCATCAGGTGAGAATAGCGCCGGAGAAGGGTTAGAAAGGGGGAGAGAGATGATGAGTGAGAGTGGGCTGGTGGTGGGCTGGACAGATTCTCAGGGCAGATGGTGCGTGTGTCTGGCTTTATTCCCTCCGTCTCCTGTTTCCACCGGTATCGTTGTTAGTTCTTCGAACCGTCCTGAGCTGTTTTCCATGTCGTCTCAGCCGTTCCGTAGAAAGTTCGTTTCGATGTTTCGCAGTAGGCCTTTCGTCTTCGGTGTGACTCAGTAAGAACTCTTATTTCCCTCTTTTCAGGTATTCGTCACTGCCAGACGCTGAGAAACAGCAGTTGGGAATGGAGTGGAACAAACGCTGGGACGAGTTCATTAACCAGGTGGTCGACAAGTATCAGCTCAAGACGTAAGGCTGGTTGGCGCTGCACGATGCACTAGCTGCTGGTAAATGACACAGTATCAGTTGTTTGACACAGTAACAACGGGCTGTACTTGGCACATCAGTATGTAATTAACATTTGACAGTCCTAGCTGATATTTGACACAGTACCAGGGTGTATCTGGTATCTGATTGACACAGAAGACGCACTTGCCAAATGACAGGGTAGGCAATCAAATACCGGGGAAGGGACACACAGGGCGGGTTTATAGTCACGAATGGTTGTGTGATGTGAAGTGATGATGACGATATGCAATAGCAGTTAGAGTTAGGGAGACTGACGAGTGACCGAAAGGTGCAGATTTACTTACGCTTTTAGTTTACCTCCACTGTTCGTTCCATTGAATAGGTAGAACGAACCATTGGACCGTTTGTTTGATTTTTCGCTACTTATTAAAGCTCCCTACTTATTTCTTCGTTATGTGCTGACATGTTAGTATACAGTGTTTTGATGACGAAATTGGTTTATTGTTTTATTTTGAACCGACTCTTGGGTTGTAATTGAGTAATGACTATGCCGCGGCTGTACGAGGGGGTACCCAAAAGAAACGGGAATTGTTTCATATCTGTTCATTCACTGATCCCTACACATCGTCACTCATGTCATTCTTAAAGTACTCTCCCTGCGAGACAATGCACCTATGCAGACGCGTTTTCCAGCTCTCAAAGCAGCTCTGGAACTCTTGCAAGGTGATGCCTTGCAGAGCCATCGTCGTTTTTGCTTTTACCTTATCAAAGTCGTCGAAATGGTTTCCCTTGAGGTCTTTTTCATTCTGGGGACCAGGAAAAGGTCACAGGGTGCCAAATCCGGTGAATAGGGAGGGTGGATCCGTGGGTTCATGCATTTTTTGTCCAAAATTGTCTGACACTCAAGGCGGTGTGCGCTGGCACACTGTCGCGATGAAATCGCCACTCCCCGCTTCGCCACCTGTCGGGGAGTTTTCGTCTCACCGTGTTTCACACACGCCGCAGAACGTCCAAGTAAAACGTCTTATTGGCAGTTTGACCAGTGAGGAACAATTTCCTTTTGCACACTTCCCATTGCATCGAAAAAACAAATCAGCATTGTCTTGACATTTGACTTCACTTGACAAGCTTTTTTGGGGCGCTTTTGGGATAACATTTGACCACTTTTGAAGTGCGAAAATCATTCATAAACCCGCGTCTTGCTCACGGCAGCATATTTGTATGCTACTTGAAGCATTGGAACCGTTTCAGTCGCGGACTTCCCCAGCAGGAAACAAAATTTCACAGATGCGCGTTGTTGCTCAGTTCCGCTATGCATAAAAAACGACGGATCGGGCGGGAGTGCTTCAATAAATACGTGCGCCACGCGGCCGCGCTTCTTTATTTCGTCACCTCACGGTGCAGGCTAAGTCCCAGGGGCCAGACTGGTTTGCCCCTAGCAGGGCAATGCCGAGCTACAACTGGCTTGGCCTACAGAGAACGATTCCCGTTACTTTTGGGTACCCCCTCGTATTAGCAATCAGTAGCAATTATAGAACAGTGATGACGTGAATTAAATGCCAGGTGATGCCTTATCACTGTGACTTGATTGTGTTCCATTGTTGTGACTTGGTCAGTAACAAGGGCTAGTGACGCTGAACGATGTTTCCAATGTTCCTCGATTTACTTGCCGATCTTTTGGTTTGTTTGACTTAATTTAACTGAATAATCTGAGTCATGTTTCGATAAAAGCTGTGATGCGTGTGTGTGATATTATGAATGTCTTGTTTTGCTTAGTCATTGATGTGAATCTAAAAGTTCTTCCATGGTAACAGGACAATGAGATGTGAATGAGTTTGACTTATTGTGTATTGATATTACACGAGGCCAGTTACTATGTGTATATGCGCTTTGTTGCTAATGTATTATTTTATTTACGTTCGTCTAACTATGCCTAAGGTGGTTGCAACATTGATTTAAAAAATTGTTTAATTTCTATATTTTTGCGTATAGATCGTTAAGGTACAGACTGCTTATTGCCATGCTTTTTCAGTCAGTATTTCGCCATGCTTAAACATAATACGTTATTGATAACGACTTAGGCATGTTCCTAATTGATGAATAAATATGCAAGCGATGTATTACAAGTTTTTTTTCGACGATATCGCGCAGCAAGACGTTATCTAAGAAGGCCAATCGTTCGTCTCTCACTCCCGATATCGTGAGAAGTGTGCTCTCTCCCCCCTCTCTCTCTCTCTCTCTCTCTCTCTCTCTCTCTCTCTCTCTCTCTCTCCTCTCTTTTTTCTCTGCCTGTCTGTCTGTCTGCCTGTCAGTCCGTCCGTCCGTCCGTCCCTCCGTCCCTCCGTCCCTCCCTCCCTCCCTTCATCTCACACACGTGCTACAGTTTCCTCTCAGCGTGCTGCTACAGTTGTCCGACAAATAGTGGCGTCATTTCCTGCCTCGCTCGGACCGTGACCTTGACCTGTTCCCCCCTGTTTACCCGCCCCCGGTCAGGCATTCTCACACAAAGCCCGGACAGTGTCGCAAAGGCAATTACGCCCTGGCCGTGTCGTAACTTACGCTTTGATGGGTCCCTCGCTGTGACGGAGAGCCAGGGATCGGGTTTGTTGTCCAAAGAACAGGGGAACATTCGGACCGAGGTGTGAAAACGTCAGCACCGCGCTGCTTTTGTGACGTTTTTTAGATGAAGGTGTCATACCGGTGCTGATGACATTTTTCGTTTCTTTTCTTGCTGTCACTTCTTGCTGCAGATTCCGTCAATCCATCTTTGTTCCTTGATCGTTCATCTTCAAAGTGTCGTTCCAACTGACTCATGTTGCGTTACACGTTGCCATTGCGAAGTACTGCTTGGAAGTGGCATGTCTTCTGTCTGCTGGAACCGTATCTATAAATTCTCTCACGCAAACCAAATGTGTAACGGCACAAATGCACACTCGCACACTTCTTGACGTACATTCCAGTGCACGCGTATAAATGTACACACTCACTTAAGTACGCATGCGAAATAAGAAACGCATATTGAGCTCTGGGAACATCGTTCGTATGTTGCGCGATTCAAACCACCGAACTAGCCACCGTGAAGCGTATCGTATAGTAACGTCCGTCCGACCGGACTGTCTGACGGACTGGGCCGCTCACAATACCACGGAGCGCAGTCTACCGTACCCCGTCCTGTGCCAGGCGCTACCGCAGCATTCCCGTCCTAGGCAATAACTCGTAGACTTGAGTGGACATCTTTCCACATCCTTCCACAAAAGAGCTGCAGTCTGGCGAAGGTAGACTGTCCGATTGTTGGTTATATTCTTCCCGGCGACGTTTCCGTCACGGTCCCTCCTGTAATTAAGTCGCGCATCTTTTGCGGTCTCTTACGATAATCATCTGTAGTTTTCGTCTCACGGCCTCCCCTGAGCATATTCCTAGGATTGCAGGATTGATTTGATCGGTGTTTTAGGATAAATCATTGGGCTTCTCATTGTTATGGGACAGTAAGCAGTCTACCTTCAGTTACGTTCATTTATGTCGGAAACGAGGGAAGAGAGACGGTGAGACCTGATTCGCCCTAATGAAGTGTTTGATTATGGACGGCGACGTGGTGCATTTCACTCAATATACCCTGGTGCATACTCCTAGCCTCTCGACTGTTCTATACGAGCTAATGAACAGGTCAAGTGTGCGATTCATTCAGAGTGCGTGCAGACACGCAGTCGGGTCTTCTCGTTTCGACATAGCGGCCGCTGTTTGCCTAAAGCTAGTGTAATTCTCGAAAACAATATCTCTCCCTCTCTTACAATTTTACGACAGGGGCAAGTTCCATGATACAGAGACATAAAAGTACGATTACATCTAGCATACTCATGAGCCACTCTGCTTCTGGCGAGTGGCGAAGGTATGTCCACATGTAGTCTCAACATTAGCATAGTAATATTTGTCTGGCCGCTGCACTGGTTAGTTGTTACAGCCCTCCACTGAACCTTTCTAGCCTCTGGGAGATGAGCCTAAACTCCTACGAGCGTTTATGGCATCCTCGGTCCGTCTGAGCACGTTTGTGTGCGTGTGTGATGCTGTGGCTCAGGGAGGCGTCACGTCACGTGACCGGACGTGACGCCGACTGCCGAACGAGGCGCGTGACGCGGCACCTTTCACACGTGAGGCGGGTGGACATGGGGTGTGTGGGGAGGGGGAGGGAGGCCATCATGAGGCAATGGTGTGGTGTGGTCGCCGCTGAGGGTGAGCTTGGATTCGCTTTGACAGGACGACGTTTGAGGATGGCGGGGATTGGAGAACGCACACGTGACCCGTCAGGCTAGAGACAAGACAATGCCGTTGCGATTAGAACTTCTCATCACGTGACTAGCACTGTGAATTTCGAGCGCTGTACCGTATTTTGACCCGAGCTGAACAATCACGTGACCGAGGCTGTCATCCGGACCCATCGTCACGTGACCGAGACTAAACAAATCACCGCTGCTAATTCCACTTGGCTTTTGATGGCGAAGTGAGCAGCAGCACATGGGCTGGCTAGAGAGTCTGCTGGAAAGCGTCGTAGCTAATCACCGAACGTGACCAGGATGAAGTGTGGCGAATAGGGTCTCACAATAGAAAACGTGACCGAACGGTGAAATGGGGATGTCATACTGCCGTAGATGGTAAATATGACACTGCTGTCAGGTTGAATGCCAGGTGGTAGGTTGAGAATGGAAATGATTGAGCTCCCATCGCAAGGACACGCTTCTGAAGTGCTGTCTAAAAGCACTGAGTTGCAACCAACACGAGTATTACGTCGAAGTTTATGTATTGAACAGCAAAATGCTGCAACAAATGCGAGAACAATAGGGCAATGTACACTGTACAGGCTTAAACTCAGCTTAGGTAAACGTAGTTTAAAATAAAGAAAGCTTGCACAATTGTACGAATTCCGCCAAAGCCCGTTGATGACGGCAGTTGCATTAGCACCAACACAAAACGTTCAACGCATAAAGCCTGCCATTGCCTATGCCTAGAAAGCGTCTCGCTTTATCTCTCAACACTAGGGAGACCGACTGTTTAGAAAGCTATTATGACAAAGGTGCCGAGCAATGGAGAAGGCAGCGATGAGACGGTACGTATAGTTTCAAGCGATGGCAGGCCCTAAACGAACAACGACACTTATAAAGTAGGAATTTGGTTTAAATACATCTCAATCGTCGAATGCATAAACATAAAATATGTCGAACGTTGGTAGGTAGGCGTAGGCTGAAGCTTGTGTCGCTCGCTAGTTGCTACATTAGAACCGAGGCGGGAGGCCCCATGCATCGGTCATCCTGCACAGTGCACCTAGCCCCGGCCTGGCATTTCAGTGAAAACAAGGCTAATGGGAGACTTCATTTTGCCCACGCTCATTTGTTGGTCGATTGGCGGCACTTAATACATATCGACATCGCTCACAATAAAACTGAAACTAGACACCTAACTAATTATCGTGCAATCTGCACGGTATAATCGGCGCCATTAGGCGACAGCCTACCAACAACTTCTCGATTACCGAAACAAACACGGATCATCTGCCATATGCCTCTGTGTGCGCTCTGATGGCGCCATCTTCTGTACGCCTCACATTTCACTCGTGAGGAAATCACACAGCAGATGCACCCTCATCTGCCCTCTCTCTCTCTCTCTCCCTCTCTCCCTCTCTCTCTCTCTCTCTCTCTCTCTCTCTCTATCTCTCTCTCTCTCTCACTTTCCCTCTCTTCGTCTCGCTCTGTCCTTCCGCTCATCTTCCTGCACCTCCCGCCGCTCGCGACACCTTTTGATTACGGTCCGTGGCACTCGTTTCTCTGTCACCGTCTGTGCGTGTGACGTCACTATTACGTCACCTGGTGACATCACACGGCGAGTCCGAGTCGGCTGGGTGACGGCGGTAGCAGTAAATTGGTCAGCGATCTCTTCCTTCTACCGACAGGCGCCAGCCTGGGGGAGGAGAATGGGATGTGTCATCGTGATGGTTTATAGGGGAGGGAGAGAGAGAGAGAGAGAGAGAGAGAGAGAGAGAGAGAGAGAGAGAGAGAGAGAGAGAGAGAGAGAGAGAGAGAGAGAGAGAGAGAGAGAGAGAGAGAGAGAGAGAGAGGAGACGCTGAGGTGATCGGATCGGAACCCAACCCAGACAAGTATCTGTTAACAACTCAAACAAGTTAGATACGGTGAAGCGTTTGGCTAATTACAACAGCAACACGCTGCAGAGGGCTGCATCTCATAACAAATGAATATGGAAATAAACTGCTTTTCAGTTCTCGCGCCAAGTTCTAGTTATGAAATTCGCGCGTGAATGAACTACCGAGATTCCAGTTACCCTGAACCACTACAGTGAACAAATGCTCTCAGGACATGCAACACTTCGCTCGTCATGGAAATTATTCGTAGCCATCGTTTCCCATTGCATTAGCATGCCGATCACATGAGGTCGTCGCGCGAAATATGGGCGTGGGGACCTTTTTAAACAATGCCTGCAGCTATTCACACGTGAACGATTTGTGTTTCGGAATCTGGAAGCTACTTACTAAATATACTAATTACTAAATAATATTTAATTAATACCATTAGGAATGAAGGCATGTCCGTTCTGCCCTACTGAAGTGAGGAATAGCCAATGCCTAGGCCTGGTCGCACAGTAAGCTGACATTCCGTTTATGACGAATTATTAAGGTCAAGCTACACGGGACACTTTTTAGGTTTTTGATTTTTCGGTTTTTCGCTTTTTCGGTTCGATTTATCGCTTTTTCGCGTCGGTTTTTCGATTTTTCGATTTGTCGCTTCGTGACTTGAGTTTTTCGAGTTTCATTGATTTTTGTTTAGTTGGAACGCGCTGTGCAACCGCCAGCTCTTTTTATTTTGTTTGCAACCAATGCAATGCGTTGGTCGCAGTTTTGCCAAGGGGCTTTAGGGGTCTGTTTTCTTGTCTGTTTTAACAGATGGAAATTACTTAAAATAGAGCTCGTCTGTTTTGTAGTAGGAAATTAGGTGGCTTGACTAAACTTCCAGCAGCTACTAGCCGGCGCCCCGCTGGGGCTCCTGGATTTCCACGCCCTGCTGGTAGGGGGAACACCCCTTCTAACTTGGCTCCTGAGCCACGTAGCGACACGCCGTAGCCGACACTTGAAAAAAACCCTAAAAATAAGGAACAAACTGCTTCGGCCATTTTTAAGTCCGGTGTAGGCCAAAGGGCAGGTCACCAGAGGTCATCGAAGGTAAAATGTCGCCAATATCTATAGGTCAAACTTCGACAATTTTCGACAAATCGGTCCATAGCTCAGGAATTGATAGGGCTATAGCGCCGCCGAGAGGCGCAATCAAACGTTCTTTTAACGTTCTTCCGCTAGCATGTCCTCAGATTTAACGTAAGGTTCACGGTTTATCCTGCAGGGGCATAAACGCCCAAAATAGACAACTCTGCAAAAACAGTTTTTCCGCAATAACTTTTGACTCTAAACTTGCACGAGCTTTCCTTCACCAGAAACGTGTTTCTCTGGTCGAGACGCTTCGAATGAACATTAAGCTAACTGGACTGGTCTAGGTCATGACCTGGCCGCAAAGTTCGTGATACCTACATATCAGCCGATTTGTATCGTCCTGTGGAACACATCGAATGTGTTTTCATCGCTCTATAGTAGCATGCATTTATCGAAATTTATTACCGAAAATTGTGCATACCTTTCGCGACCTGATATGATCTCAGGGCATAACAAGGGGTCACGGGTGCCATATTCCGGTTCATTGTGTCATGTGTACCTACTTGCATAGGCGTAGGAACAGCATGTTATGAAGACAAAGAAGCAAATGACTCGAATGATGGGTAGAAGGGAAAATATCCTGAACTCATACTGCAGTAGCGTTGATGCGAAAAGGGGTTTTTGCTTCGATTATTATGGGTGCAGAATGCACTGTCGGTACCTATTCGATAATTATTGTGGGTGCAGCTGCAGCTGCATCCACTGCACCCATGGTTCCTATACGCTTATGTGTACTTGTAACCTGAGAGTGTTTAGAATGACGTTCGTTAAAAAACGCCGTTCAGTTTTCAGTTTCTAGGCAATGGGGGGGGGGGGGGGGTCGCAAAATTGACGTGGCCTTGGGTTACCGATATCGAAATTATGTGATATACATTTTGTGCATACTGCTACTCTCTTGAATTGCTGAAAGTTCCAAAGCCATCCGTTACCTGGTGTAGCAATGATAAGCATTGGAACATTTTCTGAGTTGGTCACTCTGACCACCTCACCAGGTTACCTGACCTGGTGACCTGACCTTGAGAGACCTTGGTCCTGAAATTTTCATAACATGTGTAAAAAAATGTGCTTGATAAGGTGTGCCAAAAACAGTGGCGCGAAACGTCACCCTTTTTTGAGATATTAGCGAAAAACTGCAGGTGGTGTTCAAACACCGCTCCCCTAGCAGGGCGCGGCTATAAGCATGATGAACAGGTTTTACAAAAGATGAAATAAATACGTGCATATATCTCACATAATTAACCGCTATTCAATCCTTTCACGTGGATAATATGTGCATATCTACACTGAAATACTATTAAGCGATTACATTCCTTCCTTTCCATTAGGAGTACCGAAATGTGAATCGTCGGAAACATGCATCAGTATTACCACATCGTCACGTGCTGAAGCCGAAAAACTGAAGATTACTTGGAAAAGCTGATTGTCGATCCAAACTTTTGGGTTGGACGAGTCGCTTCGTTTTTTCGCTTTTTCGATTTTTGGAGTCGCTTTTTCGCTTTTTAGAGTCGTTTTTTTCGATTTTTCGCGTCGCTTTTTCGAGTTGCTGATTTCGTTTTTTCGGTTTCGCTGCCGTGGAGCTACACCAATGTTATCAAGTGAAGCTGATCGTCTACTGAAGCCGAAAAAAGCGAAAAAAACGAAACGAAAAACCGAAAAAGTGTGCCGTGGAGCCTGTACTTTACATTTCCAGCCAATCTTCCCGTCTCTGTAGGATTTTGCCCATTATGAGGTGTCGTAAATGGTGTCGTAAATTCGAAGGACTAGAAATGAAACGACCTTTTTGCAGCTGAAAGAGGACCTAAGGGCTTTGAATAACAGGACGTGTGAGCCAGTCACATATCTCATAGCAATTAAAGGCTACCTACTGGTGTACAAGTACATTCCTTGGCAGGTTTGTTGATGCAGTGTCATTAAATAGGTATGTGCCTAGTGGGTACTGGACAAGGTGACCGTAAAAAAGTACCTACTGCATGCAGTCTGTTAAATGTTTGATGCCCCGAGTGATTTTCTTTAACATCTTTACGAACCAGTGCTTGCTCTCGGATCAGGTTATTCATAAGCTTCTGTTGGTAACCATTTCAATACATGGCTCTCAGTCCTGGTGAATGCTGATACATTTGGCCTATCAGACCATGAAACTGAAAACTGGTCTAGCAAACCCCATCTCTCTTTCTGTTCCCGACTTTCCTTTTCCCTATTGCGACTAATAAACTCTCCTGATTGGCTATTGTTCCCTCCCTTTTCACGCCATCTTCCCCTTGTTCTTCCCCTTTGTTCCTGTCACCCCTCTCCCTCCCTCCGTTGTGTACACGCTCCAAATCCTGCGCCCAGGCTCGCTGCCGGCTGACGGTCCCAACTACCGAGGGATGAGCCAACAGGGACGACACACGTGCCGCGGGGACCATGCCTTGATGTGCCACTCTCGGCCGGCGCGGCGGTGCGGTGGGGTAACACGGGTCGATGGACCGCGACAGACACACCGCTCGGGGCGGCGAGAGCTGGTCGGGAAAGACGGATAAAGTGATCTTCAAATGGAGCAAAAGAACCAGCGGGATCTTGGTGGAATCGGGTGTGATGAAATGTGTTCACATCAAGGTCACCATAATTAATATATTTTGAGAGAGAAAAAAAACAAGCGTTACAACTGTCTCAGGCGTTTGCACTTTTTATATGACGCCGATAGATTTGTCAAGATTTATTTCTTGAGTGTCATGGATAACTTAAATGCAATGGACCTTCAGCTTAAGGCCGGCTTCGATTGAACAGACTTTATGCCATAAGAACTTACTTGCTCGGTTTGCCTAAAACAAATTTATCGTTACATTTGAAATAGTTCATATTCTTAACGTAAAGTGCTTCACCAATCATGGACATTTAAACGGTCCAAGCATGTAAAGATGAGAAGAATATAATTGTTGGCTCCAATAATTAGTAGGAGTCCTGTTTTAACCCGCGCCCCGCTGGGGGGGGGGGGGCAGAATCTGCCCCCCCTCCCGTTTTTCGCCAATAACTTCTAAACGCGTTACGCCAGCGACGTCAAACTTTCAGTACCTTATCATACATCAATTTGACACGTTCCCTGAAAATTTGAGCCAAATCCGTCGGAAAATTTTTGAGAAATTGACGTTTTAGTGACGTCATGTTCGCCATTTTCGCCTAAAAAACGGCAAAATTTCAAACGCCGCTAACTTCTTCATTTTTAAAGGAATCAAGTCGTAACAAAAAAGGTTATACGTGATTCTACTTTGTCTATCAAATGGCTATCTCGGTTTTTTGAAAATTTTGGATTTTGGCCAAAATTTTTCCAAAAAACTGACTTTTTTGGGAAAATATTTATAAAATCCAAAATTTTGAGTTTATCGAAAAAACCGGAATATATGTCAAAGAAATGGTCTATGTGCACCTACATACCAATTTTGAGAAGAATCGGTTCAAAAATGTGGGAGTTATTCAAAATTTTATGACGTCACGGCACACAAAAATTTTGAAAAATGATTTTTTTGGAAGTTCTAGACCTCGTACGGAAATAAAAATAGCACCATTCGATTCGCCGTGAAAAACTGCATCGGATAGACACCTTTTTAGGCCTTAACAACCAACTTCAAAATTTGACCTCACTTGACCTGACCTTGACCTGACCTCGACCTGAAATTCATCCAGAGGTGGTCCATATCACTTATTGAGTGTGCCTATTGAATTCCATGAGTAAAATGACCCATAAAACATGTGTCGCACATGCCCTTTTCTATATTTTGTTTTTGGTGACCTGACCTGACCTGACCTGACCTTGACCTTGACCTTTGAATGACATTGTGTGCAACGAATATTGTCTTGGTAGTCTAAGAACACGTTTTGGGCAATCAGTCTCAGTCCATTCTTCGGCAACTACGGTGCAAGGCCGATACCGTAGAAACTTGCATTTTGTACCCTTGACCTGACCTTGACCTGACCTCTGACCTACTTAAGCAAAAAAAAATTGGGCTCTTAAGATCCGCCTTGTTGAGAGCTTTCGATTGCCGTTTTCCCCGTCTTTCTACGACCATCGGTTCGGAAGTTAGACAGGGGGGGCAGAATCTGCCCCCCCCCCAGCAGGGCGCGTATGGCTGAATAGCCCAGCGGGGCGCGGGTTAAAATTGACGGTTGCGTCAATTCATTTGAGGTGCTGGGGTAGTGGAATAGTTATGGTGTTTTTAGTGCATCCTAATGACGTTCACTTGCTTCTAATAACGGCAATCACTTGCCTCTGAGTGGAACATAAAGTCGCTATTAATCTGTGAGCCCATGCAAATTAGCGGTATGCATAACGCTTATCTATTGAAATGCACAATGTACATTGGTGAAGAAGAGCGTGTTTAGTGTCTAAATATCAAAAGTACAGGGTCTCCATCAGACATTCAGACATGACGAACAAAACATGCATTACGCTGTCGCTGTTGTAACGCAATGTAAGCTATGACTGACATACTAATTTGCAGTAGCGGCTCCTGTGTCCATCAGACTAATCATCCCATCGAGCGCACGCATCCACTCCATCCTGTATGTACCTATTTCGGACACACAAACACCCATTAGAGTGACTCGCATACTCACGAGAAGCAGCACTCGTTCATGAAGAAGCAGCACTTGAACGAGAAGAGTAGAGTGTTCATACACGATCCGCGGCAATGTGACTTGGAAAACGCTTCGGCGGATGGTAGACAGGAGGTCAACAGACAGCACGACACCAGCACAGCTGCTAGTCGAGACATGGCGGCAGGGGTTGTGACCCACTGCGCTCGCGGGGGAAGCTTTACGAACTGACCCGGCCGCTGGAGCAGCGAGCGATGTGAAACGACGGGCGACACGGGTAGAGAGCTACTGGCCGCGGCGACAGGCGGAGGGAGACTGGTCGCCGGCGGACGGGCGGGGTGGCAGAGGGAGCGGAGGCGGCGGCGGTAGGACCGAGCGGGACGAGGACCGAGTGGGGGTCGAGGCTGGATGGGGTCAGCTGCCGTAGCTGCCCTGGAGGTCCTATTCGTGTGGAATTATTAGTTGCTCCGCTAGAGATAAATATCTCCGATAGTTTGCCAAGGGGAGGTCTCGCAATAAATCGCCCATAATGGGCTTTGATTGATCGGGTTTCTACATCCACATCAATTTAAAATTAATGTGCTCAGCAGATTCGATCTAGATCTAATAAAATATACGTTCCTATGAATAGACGTTAATGCAAAACGTCCTTGAAGGCGATACTTATCATCTGGCTGACATGGAATACGAGTAGGTGCCTAAATGCGCAACACCCGTCCTTTGATGCTTTAAAAACGACTTCACACCAATGACTGGTAAATTGAAGATGAAGCGAAACATTCCCAAGCACCCAGAGCCTGGTTTCTTCATGCCATTTGTACGTCCCCTGATGGTCTTATTTCGCAACAGGGGTGGGCCGCCTGGTCTTGTTTCTATAGCACGTGTCAATTGGCTGAGGCTAGTCCTTTTAACATAAAAGAAACTCTGCGAAACAATCGTTCATAGCGTGGGTCACACCATTCCAACTTAGCTCTAGCTCGGAGTCGTTATGTCGATGAAAAGAACCATTTTCACTCCCAATTGTCCTCCTCTCACACCAGCTCGCGTTCAGATGAACCGTGCTGCCTCGATGGCTGTTTTCACCCACTTTCCACTTCAGTCCACACTGTGGTCGTAACTTTCCATGTCAGCAGCGCACTGTCATTGGCCTCTCGCAGTTGGACATGTGACGTCATCAGAACTGTGGAGCAGTGACTCCACTTAATGACGTCATGTGAAGACGAGCAGGGACATGTGGATTGTTGATCGATGCAAGACTCACTATTCTTATCTTGCTTATTGGGTTTATTTTATGCACACGTAACTGACGTAACGTATTAAAATCTCCAATAGCCCGGCCGGGCCCGGGGGGTAATCCCAACCACCGCAGCCCGGGGGGGGGCGTTTTTCGCCCCCCCCTGTCTAACTCCGTAAATAAGGGAGCTACGGAAACAAAAGCGATACCAAACGAAAGGTCCTTACGAGACGATTCTGAAGCACCTAAAATTTTTGACCTCAGGTCAATTTTCAAGGTCAGAGGTCAAGGTCAAAGGCAAAAATCGGCACATGTGTAGTGATCTCAAAGTAAGCCTTCTAGAAGACGGCAGGCGGCATCAAACCGGCAAAATTGGGTGTCAAACGAAAGAAGAGAATCTGAGGATTCTGAAAATGTGCTCAAAGTGAAAGGTCAAGGTCAAGGTCACGCTCAAAATTGACCTCAAACTTGGCACTTTTTCGCACATCTTGCGTGCTAACTTCCAAGATGTTTTGAAATGTTTTGAGGCTTATCAGTTCCCTATTTGTGGTTCATCTTACGATACAAGGCTGCTCAAAGGTCAAGGTCACTGAAGAGTATCCCTGCTAGAGGCTATTTCACTAATTCAAGTTAGTAATAATGAATAAGACAATTTTGCCATCCGGAAGCTCTAAATGAAGGCTTAGAGGAAAATAGATGCCAGATTCGTGATCAGCGTGTACAAATACATCACAAACGACCTTTCATGTGTCAAGGTCAACCAGAGGTCATTCGAGGTCACATGAGGTCAACATAAAATTTAACCTTTTCCGAACAAAATATATATCATTCGACGCGGCTTGACAAGGCGAATGCGATGGTGCCACTGCCGTAGCTCTAGGACCATTTTTGTCGAAGTTATTTGCGAAAAACTAAAACCACATTTCGGGGTCGTTGACCTGACCTCTGACCTCAGGTCACCAAAACTATTTTTCTATTTTTCTCTAGGTCAAACCCTACACAACCGTGCTCGTAATTTGTCTTTATCTCTAAAACTCTATTTTTAGCAGCTATTTGAAGTTTGCGTCTGTGACGCCGAAGTTTGCCGTGCAGGGGTCCAGAAAAATGGACCTTGTGACGTCATCAAGGGAGCTAGGTCCAAATTTTTTACTTCAGAAGATGTCAAATTGATGGGAGAAAAGGTACTGAAAGTTTCGCTTTCCTATCCCTAAGCGTTCGGGAGCTATCGCAAATATTCGCCAGGGGGGCGAAAAACGCCCCCCCCCGGGCCCGCGAGGGATAGTTACCTTGTTGTTATATCCACACATCGTGTTGCAGTCTCCGTTGCCAAGTATCATAGCCTCACAGAATGTTGCAGTTTCCCATATCTGGTGGTATTGCCGAACAACGTATGTCAGTCTCCATTGTCTGGTGTTATAGCCACACACTGTATTGCAGTCTCTGGTGTTATAGCCATACACTGTATTGCAGTCTCCAATGTCTGGTGTTATTGAAACACAACGCATCGCAGTCTCTGGTATTAACCCTATTCCTGGCGGGCTCCGCCGGGACAAGAAACTGGCGGGGGGGCCGATTCGGCCCCCCCCCCCCCTGAGATCTCGAGAACGAAGCAAGATAGCGACAAGCGGTAAACGGCATCGGATACGCATGGACAAGGTCTACAATTTTACAAAGGTCATTTTCAGGTCAGGTCAAAGATGACGTCACAGGGGTCGAAAAAGTCAAAATGGCGGCGCTAGATATGGAGAGAGTTTTTCTCGAATAACTTTCGAATTAGTCAAGATAGGAACAAACTAAGGGCATCATCGTAATCCTCTCGTCAATCCGCATCGAATGATATATATGTTGACCTCGAAAGGTCAAGGTCAAAGGTTGACCTCAGGTCACGTGACCTCGAGGTCATCATGTATATCATTCGATGCGTCTTGACGAGCTGAACACAATGAGACCATCCACGCATCTGTATCTTGTTCCTGTACGGAGTTATTGGCCAAAAACCTTTGGTGACCTTTGATGACGTCACATGACCTCACAGCTGCCCAACAGCAAAACAGACCTCAAGGTAGTGAAGGTTGATCGTATATGAAGTCATGTATGGTGTATGGGGCCATTCCGACCCGTTTTAGTGGTAAAAACAGGGAGTTGATTTTTCCCTCATTGACTTATAATGGGGAGGTCGCGAAACTGACCTGACCTTAGGTCACCGATATCAAAATTCCGAGATATACAAATTGCACATACTGGTACCCTAACTAAAGCCTGAAGAGAAGAAATTGATCGGTCAAAAACTCTAGCTCTGGCGTGATTGCAAACTTTTCTGAGGTAGGGTCAGCAAACCGCCTCTGGTGACCTGACCTGAGGTCAGATCATCTCAAAATTTTCAGACATGTTGCGTAGAAGCCTTTTAGGAAAAGTCAGAAAATTTGAGCTTCCTAGCTCAACGCGTTTGGGAGAAATAACCAAAAAACCTCAGGGGGGGGGCTCCTGAGGCCCCCCCCCCGCCAGGAATAGGGTTAAAGTCACACCCCGTATTGCAGTTTCCAAGGTCTAGTGTTACAGCCACACATCGCATTGAAGTCTCTAGTGCTATAACCACATTATATTGCAGTCTCTGGTGTTGTAGCCATACATTGTATTACAGTCTCCATTGTCTGGTGTTATGACCACACACTGTATTGCAGTTTCTAGTGTTTGGTGCTATATTCGCACACTGTATTGCAGTCTCTGGTGTACCACACACTTTTGCAGTCTCCATTGTCTGGGTGTTATGACCACACACTGTATTGCAGTTTCTGGTGTTATATCCACACATCATATTGCAGTCTCCAATGTCCGGGTTAGAGACACACATCGTATTGCAGTCTTTGGTGTTAGAATCATACACCGTTTTGCAGTCTCTGGTGTTATAGTCACATACCGTATTGCAGTCTCCAATGCCTGGTGTTAGAAATGCACACCGTAAAGCAGTCTCTGGTGTTAGAGACACACATCGTATTGCAGTCTTTGATGTTAGAATCATACACCGTTTTGCAGTCTCTGGTGCTATAGTCACATACCGTATTGCAGTCTCCAATGCCTGGTGTTAGAAATACACACCGTAAGGCAGTCTTTGGTGTTAGAGTCACACACCGTATTGCAGTTTCCGTTGAGTGGTGCTAAAGCCACACAGCATATTGCAGTCTCCGTTGTCTGTTGTTATAGCCACACACTGTATTGCAGTCTCCAATGTCTGGTGTTATACCCACACATTGTATTGCAGTCTCCAATGTCTGGTGTTATAGCCATGACACACCGTATTGCAATCTCTAGTGTCTGATGTTATAGTCGCATAGTGTATTGCAGTCTCCAATATCTGGCGTTAGAGACGCACCGATTGCAGTCTCCAGTGTGTGGCGTTAGCTCCATACAGTGTGTTGCAGTCTAATGCCCGGTGTTATGGCCACGCAGCATATTGCAGTCTCCGTTGCCTGGTGCTATTGTTATATAGCGCATTGTAGTCTCCATTGACTTGATGTTCTCATATTCTTTCTCACGGCTTGAATTCGTCGGGCGAGGGCAAAAACAAAAGCACGGTTCTAATTTGGACATCTTCCAAGCGTTATAGTTTCAGCAACTGAGGACAAGCTGATGTAACGCAGATGCGCTACATTTTTTTCATCCTTCATGCGGAATTGCAAGCTGTGCCACAAGCTGAAACACGGCCATCTGCGAGCGCCGCACAGACACGGTCAGCCGGCTAAATCGGCTGTGATACCCCCTCTCCGTCCCAGCCGGCGTCCACACAGGCGGCGCAGTCGGCTCTGACAAACAGGGGTCCCCTATAGATGACCACCCCACTTCATGAGAACCCGGATCTGAAGTCAACAAATAGCATACCGAAACGCACCATCCTGCCGGTGTCGAGCCATTAATCAGTAGCCTTTGGAAAACAAGACTCTGTCCCACGCTCGGCACCCCGCCAGAGAACAAGGAGAGGGGAGCGCAGACCGGCCCTGATTTGAACCAAAACAAGAAAGGGGAGCGCGGACCGATCCGGTTTGTACGAAAACAGGATGAAATGGAACTCGGTCACCGCCATGGGAGTAGGACACCTGGCCGGAGACATTCAAAACAGGGGGAGCGCAGGACTAAAAACAAGAAAGGAGGGCGCAGAGCCGGCCGCCACCTGGCGCCTCAGGCGGCGCAAATCGCCGGCGGCGAGTTCCGTCCGATCGC